GCTGACCTTGGTGCTCGAACAGCTCAGTTTATTAAATATCTCCGCGATACCACCAAAATTGGAGATAACTAGAGGACTTAAGACAAGGATTGCGAAAGGAGAGGTTGCTGACGACTAAGGTTGGTGAAACTAATAGTAGAAGCAATATAATGTTTTCCCAACTAAAGTAAATGTGGAAGCAGCAGAACGGTAGCACGAGGAGATGGGCCAGAAATCAGTCCGTTTAAAAGGTAGAATTGAGACGTCAGTGAGATGAAACCGATCTACAGCTTTCAACTTCAAACCCTAGGTAAACTCGAAGTTCAATTCAAGACGATCCATTTCGTCTAACTGAATGCAAAGACCGTGGAACTAAACTTCACAATACGCAGATCAGCAGCATAAATCCTTTGATAAGATGGACACTAGTAAAACGAAAATAACCACAAGTTCCCAACCGATTCGGATTTGAGTTGAGTACACTTGATTGAGTTTGGTTAGCAGGCATAAATCCAGGAAAATGACGTTAAACGTGAGGAAGTATTCCTCAGACAATCGGCTTACATCCAGAGCAATGAAATAGTGTAGCCACAAATAGTCACGCATTAATAAGTATTTTGGCATCTTACTTTAAAAAAAAACGTGACTTAATAGGAAAGAGATTTAAATAAATGGCATTTTTGTGGAAACATTCACACGTACTATAAAAGTCTCGAACTTTTGTAGCCAAAGTGTGTCCGACGGAAAGTGGACAAACGCAAAAGAACAGAACTATAGAAAATTACACCTTGTTTGAATGAAGTGTTTCGCCGCGGAAGAGAATTTTCATCTGAAATAAGTGGTTTCCAGATTTTTTTAATACGAAAAATGAATAAAGGCAGACATGTAACTTATTGACGAGAAAAAATGATTAACTTCGACTTCTACCAGCAACTGGAGGCGCCAAGATAGCTCTGCTGATCGCATGTGTGGATAATGTTTGTTAGTCATGACTCATAGGGACAGTGAAGTCGGAAAACGGTAGATAAGTCAACCCAAAAACGAAACAGCAATCAACACGATTGGAAAAATATGGAGGTAACGTTGCAGATATCAACCGTTCAATCTGACAAGTGCCCGCAGCAAGATACGATTATTACTGAAGTAACTTTTAGAAATGAGGTGTAAGCATTGTCCTATGAGCTTTGATGATAGCACAGATAATGTGACAGAGACCTCGCCTACAGCTATACACTTTTATTATGACTTGAACCACTCACATTACATTGACTATGATGTGTTGAAGGAAGGTCTGTGAAAAAGAAATTCATGGATCAAGTAATCCAACTACTGTCAGTTGTAAAAGTGGACGATTTATCAGGATTGATGCACTTGTATAAAGGGAAGGAAAGCACAGGAGTAAACAATAAACCTGGTGTTGAGAAAGACAGTTGTCTTCGTCACATACTGAGAACATAAATTTAGCTTCAAACGACAAACGGAAAACAATGTGTCCACAATCGCATGTAGCAACAACTTACCCTCGGTAAAAGCTTCGGTCTGACCTACACTCATGATGGCTAGTTGGTTGTTGGCAATGACATCTAGCAATAAATGCCCAGTTAGAGGAATGGATTTGTAGATGAAAAAATGGAAATGCGTGAATTAATAAATCACAACACAATTATGCAAATCAGTCGAAATAGCGTGACAGGCGTTTACCTGTGTCCACACTTTCTCGGCTCCTAGGTTCGAACGAATCGCGTACGGGCAAACCTAATAAAAGTAGTATCAGTGATCGGAATTTTGTCAACCCGAAAGCAGCATAAAAAATTAGAACAATGTACTTGATGAGTGGTCCGTAAGTCCTACCTCAACGCTTTCTTTGGAACCTGAATAGTAAAAAAAACGTTAAATTTTAATAGTGTTGCGCTTTAAGTTGTAGACAACGCGTTGAACCTGGAATCATTTTCAAAATCAGTCCCGTGATCGACGGAAACGACTCATGAGGAGGGACACTTGGAAAAAGCGGTGAGAATAATGAGTTTTGTTCTAAGTATAAAAATTCAAGATGTAACCATAAAAATCACCCAATGACAAGCCAATGTCCAGAAAAGATTAAAAAATCGAACCAATATAAGAAGTTATAATGGAACGAAATGTGTGTCTACGTGAGGAAGCCACCATTTCCGGCTCTAGGACGGAAAAAAAATGATACCTCAAGCAGAGAACAATAGTTTTCAAAAAAGATTGAGCCGTATAAACAACCCACTCGTATGAGAATCAGCAAACACCGAACCTTCAGATGGACGGAGTGACAGTTTTGACTCCCACACAACATCGATTCCGCCGACTAGTAAGTAAATCACTCGTCTTGAAAACTGTTCAGATTTAATAGAAATAATTTAAACACGAACAACAGGAATGCGCATTACCTATGGCATTTATGTTTGTGCCATGTAGGATTGATGACAATATGCCGACAGGTCCTTACATTCAATTGTTGAATGAGTTATAATGCATAAATGATAAATAAAAAACCATAAGCATTACATACCAGATTGAGTTTTATCTGAATTCACCGTTCTTCCCAAAATAATGTTTGAATCCATTGCCGCCCCCTGTACGTCCAAAGCAGTTTCAGTTGCATCTGAATGGAATTTCCGAGAATCAGTTCCCCATTAAAGGGAAGAGGAGAAGAACATTTAGAAATATGTGTATGCCCGATGCCAAACGGCCAGTGCATCAGAGCTTCAATGACTTTGCCCACAGCACAGCATCTTTATGATCAAGACGCCATTACAAAGCAGAAACATCACATATGATATTCGGTAGTTTTGAGAGGCTAGAATTCAATATGTTCTCAAATAAAAAGCTTCAAACAACCACAAATATTTTTGTCAAATCTTCGAAATGGATTGACGTTGCATCAACTTATGACCAGAATCCTCACTGTCCATAAACTCTCCAGATGGAGAAGGCGAGTGATGAGTGGTACCAACCATGGCTCTGGTTGGGTTTCGGGGCAGTGGAATGCCAGAGTAAGGAGTCGCGGATGCTTTAGCCGGACTTGACGGTGATGCGCTTGTTTCACGCCTCTTCGGTGACGGGACTGGAGAGACCTGAGACCTTTCGGTGCAGTTGTCCGCGTTTTCTCCTCCCTTTGGACTCGTCATTCTTCAAACAGAATGTTCCACCAAAGCAGATAAAATTAATGTTGAGTTAGGAAGGGCAAAATTTCACGCAAGTATACATGGTGAAGATGCAGAAATGCATGAACAGGTTGATATGCTGGAACTATTGTTCATAAGGCTACGTTACTTTAAGCTGATTTATGTGGAAATATGCCAACAAAGTCAAGATAAAATTATGTTTCTAGTTCCGTTGTTTCGCTTCTATCTAAAATAGCAATTTGTTGCGCACTTTGTAAGACGAAGGCAGAGAACATGGAAAATCGTTTGGCGTAAGGTGGACTATTGAGTCAGCATTTGGGCACTGAGCAAAAACTGATTCAGTAAAATTGTGGCATTAAACTGCTAAGGATATGTATGTAGAAGTGTAGGTAATTACCCAGACGTATTAGTTTCCTCCTTTTGTGGTGTAACAGAAGGAAGAAGCTGGATAACTTCGGTAGGTATGGGTTTGTGAGACAGATTTGGCGCATTCGTTTCAAAGGAAGAAGGTGTGCTTCTCACTGGCTGCTCGACCCAAGATGGCTGGATAGTGCAGGTTGAGGTTATCGGAGGCTCGTTTGAAAGTTTCCTGCAAACATAAAATTTACTTATGGTATATCAGTAGAAAGGGTCTGGATCAGAGGGAAGCTCTCACCGCACAAGAGTTAGAGACTCACCTTGCAGCGTCCGATTTGGTATAGGTAGGACAACGGGAAAGATTAGCAGATGAAAAATCATTTTGTATAGGAGGCGATATGTTGGATACAGATTCTTGAGTTTCATTAGACACCAACACATCGGGAGTCGAAGTGACGAGATTCTTGTCGGTTGATGACTGGGTGGAACAGCTGTAAAATATTTTAGGTGATGCCATAAAACCCTAGCAGAAGTTGGGTTTTGGCCACACAACCGACCAGTTCACTACATAAGCGAGAGACGCAGAAATTATCGGGAGGAACTCATAAAGCATGGCTACAAGGTTGCTAATGTACAAGTCCAAAAAATTCAATCACTAGAAGAAATAATGTAATTGGAGAAATCATCACAAATGAAGAAGTACATAAAGGTCCTTTTGATGCCACCCTAACAATATTGAGATACTTGAGTAAGTGTACAAAACTAATTTGCAACAAAAAAGTTCGTGCAAATCACGCCAAATATACAAACTCTAAGCGACTCATGGTTAAGTGGATAGACAAAAAAGAATTTAATGAAACTAAAAATACTCAATAAATATGCGGCTAGAAGTAATGGATCAGTTTCCATAAAAATGAATTTTTTAAATAAGACCTCAGTGACGTAAACTGGCAACACCGTTCTGCTCGTTTACATAAAGAACACGGATTCAGGAAAATGGCACCCCAGTCTTGTATTTACCCAAAATACTTCGATGAAAACGCACGGAAACACGATGCAAAGAACATTGATTTAAAAAAATGAATGAAAGCAACCTTTCGTCATCAAGCCATTGTTGCACAAAAGAAAATGCAAATTGGGTGTGTTGATACCAATGGACTTTGCAACACATTTTAACTGCTAGTATTGGCGAAGTTAAGAAGACATCGAGATGAAAGTGAGAGAAAAAAACCATCCTTTAATTGCCTACAGAGGTTAATGTGAGGCTCCCCTCCAGTCAACGTGGTAAAAAAAAGGCGACGTTTACAGATTAGTGCAAGAAAGTACTAGCGAATCGAAAACGAAATCAACCATCAGAGAACCACTCCTTTTTGCACAACCGACGCGCTAGAAGCAAAGGTAAAGACCTGAGCGATACAATTTTGTACACACCAACATTTGGTCGGGCCGATAACCTGCCGGTTAAGTGGTTATTACTCCAAGGGTAGAAACAGTTGTTTACAACAGTGAATATTACTGTTTTAATCATCGACATGAAATCGAGACCGTGTAAACCATATTCTGAAGACTTTAGAACATTTGAATGTATCTTTCTTAAAAATATACAAATCATTTAAAAATACACTAAACCTATCTTGACCAAAGTAGCCAAACGGAATGGGCATGTGTGGTGTGCAGTTTTCGCTTCACGAGGTTTTATCAATTTCTACCTGTTGGTTTAGTATTGCTATTAAAACAGCAAATTCGCTTTACAGTGTAACTGACATCAGCCGAAGGCACTCAACTGACGCAGCGTTTAACGATACTGATACCAGACTGTAACAACAAAAGTTGACAGCAAATGGACAAGTGAGATGAAGATATGCAATTTTTTGAATGCTGCTTCTGCCAGTTGAATAAAGCATTTCGAGAAAACTGAGAAATTATGGTAATTTAAAGGAGACAAAAATAAAACCGGTTCATTCGGACTCAAAAAAACGGAACCGGGTCAAACGCAAAGATCTTCTTCTAAATGTTTGGGATGATCATAATTTAAAGTAACATTAAACTGGTTAGAATTGATAATAGAGAGATGAGTGAACGCTATGCTCAAGTGATCGTTGGGATAAGCACCAGAGTTGGTTATCTTTAAATTTCAGATAGTTTCGGAGAGGAAGGTGGCTGAAAATTTGACAACCATTAAGTTAATTCATCATAAAGATAATACAATCTAGAAGAAACTACAGTTCATACTAAACGAGGTAATAGTACGTATATAGCAATGTTAGTCCATGAGTGGGCCTTAGTCTGTGTGGTAATGTTCAGAGCCATCCTCCATTTTCGTATTCATCCTTAACAATTTAAAAAGGAATGCAGTTTGTTAATGGAAGAAAGCTGACAAACGTTAGGCAATTAAGGAATGAATAAGTAGAGCATTTGACTAACAAATCCGCATGGCAAAAGTTCATTCTATCAATGATTCATGGCTTGATCACCGCAAAATGTGGATTACAGAAAATGAGTATTGGAACACGCAACTAAGTTATGTGCAACGGACGAAAGCTCACCTTGGCACCCATCTAGTTAAGCTCTTTTTTGGTAACATCCTGATATTCAGCAAAAACCCAATGAAAATGTCACATCTAGGCTATGGTAAAGTTTATTAAATGGTAATGAAGGCAAATGGACCCCAATGCAATAACAGTAAAGTAAATGCATAACCACAAAATTAAAACAGCCAAAAGAACGCACTTCGGTGTTGCAGTAGCATCCTCCTTGCTGGTCGTCTGCTTGATGGTGGAGCTAGAACGCCTTCGCTGTGGTGGGGAAGGCGACTCAACTACCTGAAGGATCTGTGAAGGAGCGACCTCAGTCGCAGAGGGACGACCTTGTGTATAATCCGCAGACCGCTGAGATGGGCAAAAAGCCAAGTTATCATCCACCTCATCCTTTATTTTTCTTCCCATACAATTGAGCCTGAAAGAAGTTGGAACAACTAGATGAAAAAAGAGCAAGTTGTGTGAAGGTTTGGCTCGAGCGATGTGCTATACGCCTGACGATCAAATGATAATAGTGTCAAGACAACTTTTTCTCCGTTATTGCGAACCAAAGCGAGATCTAAGAGACTACCAAAGATAAGGCTGTCTTTAGCCTGCATCCAAGATCAATACATCCCATAGCTCAAGGCAACTGTCATGGGATTCAGACGGCAAATGAGAAATCTGTTTCCGCGAGGAGCAAATTGTATGGGCACGGGAATACGAAGGAAAATAACCATAAGCATGTGTACGAGAGCATACGACGGGTCGAGATCGAATTTGTACACCTTTGAAGCCAATATTAGCACAGTCAAAACAACGATAAGGGCTATTTTGCAAACTAGAATCATAGTCATTTGAAATAAGAGCACACACATTCAAGGCCTCTGTTACACAAATGAGATTTACACCTAATCCAACTTAGCAAAGTAAATAGCTAAATAAAATTGACGCGTTCATAGCAAGTGTGGAAAAGGTAGGTTGCAAAATAGAAGTACTGCAACTTGTAGCGTGCGTCATAGGCTTGGTGCAGAGCAATGACGATGCTGCGAAAAGAAGGTTGGAGAAGGCAATTAAAAACCGACTTGCAAAAACTCAATTGTACGCAGTCACATAAGGTTCTCTGTTGCGCAAGCCCACACCTTACATGAACTAAACTTTCGAAAGCTCAACTAATCCCACAGGCAGCGAAATCAGCGTGATCCATATGCGGATGAAGAACACCATTGGGCTAGGAAGACGAGGAGTGGAAGGATGAGACCATTAAGAGGGAAGCTAAGTCGCCAGATTGGATTTGAGATCCAGTTGGCTTTAAAAAAGTCTGCAAAGAAAGCTTCTATATCGAAACAATGGATCATATGGAGAAAGCAAGAAATGGTTCAGTAGGAGAGAACACGAACCTCAGCAAGCTGGAATTGGTATCTCAATAAACTTAGTGAATCATTCTCTTCATTGTTCCCGTATCTGCACAATATTACCCTAACTTTCCAGATAATTGGCGATAAAATGGAGGGTAGAACCCACTGACCTCCAATTGAATGAAGTTCATAAGATTGTTTCTACCGATTGCCTCGAAATTAGGCGATGTCGTGCTCCCATTTTAATGGCTTCAAGTTAATTTCTGTTTCAAGTGAAATCCTCTTTCAGAGCAAATTCATAAATCACAACTTGCTGACAGTTCTTCACTAGCTCTTAAGGAAAATTCAAATTCGATCGGCTTGTCTTGACGTGAAAAAATGATTACAAGCGGTACCAAATGGATATAAGACGGTTTAATTAGCGATTAAGATCTAAATGTTTCATCGGAAAATTCCAGCGGTTAACTTTAACAAGTTACAAGCAGCTTCCGTGCAGACATTAGGAATAACTTTTGATTCGAAGTATGCATGAACTACCTAAATATATAAACGCCTTCTGTGGCTCGGATTAATTAAAACTTACCAAAACGATATTCTGGGCCTGACGTTCAAATTCAAGTGGTGGATGCAAACTGAGCACCTACCCGCACAATGAAAATCCCTTCTTTTTTTGAGTTTTCCTTTTTGATGCCTGATCGACTGTGATCAAGTTGCCCTCGCGGAAGGAGTTGCTCTCTAGCTCGGGAGCAGGTTGGGTGCCATTGGCGAATGCCATGGCGCGGATACAAGTGATTTGGTAAACAAGTTTGCTGCTCGCGTTGATGTCCTTGACAAAGACAGTGATGGTGAAGTGATACTTGGCGTCGAACACAACAGGTGATGGAATGGAGTCTGCTCGACTTAATTTGCGACGCCTTGCTTCATTCAAGTTTTCTGGCCGCGTTGACTGTAGAACGTCCGCCAAAATAGGTGCCAGCTGAGGCTGTAAGAGGATGCGCAATACAATATCCCTCGAACAATAGGAACACACCTAAACAGTTCAGTAGAGAGGCAAGCAATATTATCCAAAAACAAACCACGTGTGCAGGCGTGCAGGTGTATGTACGTATGCGTGTGAAACTGGCGTATTCTCAAATACTTGGTGTTTCACATTGAACGTACGCACATACGCACGTACATAGAACATAGAAAGCCAACCAATAAGGAGGGAATGATTAACTAGGCCATGACGCACAAGACGTGATTGGGCTGATTGGTTGCTTGTATGTAAGCACGTGGTCAATAGGGCTGGGTGGGTGTCGCTACGGCACAAGCGGCCGTGTGCAGGCTTGCGTGCATACGTATAAATGCTTTGATGCCCTATCTCCTCCCAACAGCTAAGAAAATACATCCAACTCAACTTTGAAACCAGGCTTGAGCATAATAAAGCATAAGGACTAACTCGTTCATCCGTGATCAACCAGGGCATACGAATTTCCGTCTTTCTGCACTTTGGTTCACCGACCTCTTCCCTATTGAGCAAGAATATAGCTCCGTAAGTCACAATAGAAATTCAAATTATTACGCAGAAATTTAAGCGTAAATGTTGAAGAGGATATTAAATCAATCCTATGATTTAACTAACAGCTGATGCAAAGATAAAATGGAACGATGTGGTAAGGAATTGGCGGGTGTTGTAAACAATCCAATAATGTACCATGGCCATACGTGGGTAGCGCTATCATCATCATCGTCTTTGAAAAGTGCCAATTCGGTATCACAGATTCGCAGACGGTAGAAGCTCCCAGATTTACCCTAAATGGGAAGATTAATGTCGATAGCCATAGATCTAGTTGGATTAAACCCAGAACTGTTAGTTGGGACCGTTAAAAACTTAATCGAAACGTGGGTTCGGTCATGCGGAGTCATTTTAGTATTCAAGATATTATAGACATGTTCGTAATGCATAGTGGTGAATGAAGGAATGCTAAAAACAAAGTGAACGTTTTGGCGAGAAATGCCGCAGGAAATCACTGAATTTGAAACCTCCTTAAGCAGTAAATCAGACATCAATATCTGTCGCCAAACAAGGTCAGAGCGTGATTGGTGGACAAATGTGGGTGTAGGACCAGTCAACCGAGAACAATGATTAGAAAGTGAGTTATTTCTGGGGTGTTTTACGAGGAGATAACTTTAGCTAGATTTACCTAGGATTTGGTATAGCATGAAAGCACAAAGTTGTAGTACAAAGGCATGCTGGGGGCAATCGATTGTCACTTTTGCACAAGCACCATCTTTTGCCAATTCGCTGGAACAGACGAAGTTGAATGTCATAAGGCCACAAGCACGGTGCTCAGCCCTCATTAGTCAGAGGCTAAGCCTCAAAATATAGTAAAATTAAATGATCAAAAAGTTCTCTTAAAAAAGCAAAATCCAAGAAAGTATTGGGAAACTCTAAGCCTGGGTCACCCTTTTGATGGGCGACAGACAAGGCAGAGTCAATGAAGCAGAAATGCGAAACAGGGTTAATTATTGTAAATACTGTAGGATGTAAATTAAATGATCTCCAGTTATCAATCGCTGCTTGCCTTGCAGACAAACAGGCAGACCTCACAGGTTTCTAGTACTATGTTAATTCAAGGCATACCGTCACAAATTAAAGTAGTCGGCGATGCTTGAGTCCATAATACATACTTTGTGAACAGTCACAAGGATGCAAGCACTAAGAACGTTCGTTAAATATTAAGACAGAACAAAGTCTAAGTCGGCATACGCATGAAACTTGTTTGAGTTAAACCAGTGCACTGAAAACAACAAAGATGTAGAACAAGAATGCACTGATATTAGGGTGAGCCGGCTGCCTCGAGTGAAAAACCTATATGCAAAAGCAAATTGATGCACACGAATTAAACTACGTTTGTATATAACACATTTCTGGGAAAAAATTCGCCTATTCTATAAAAACAAGCATCAAGCGCGTCTTGAACTAGCTGGCGAATCGTGAATTTCAGATAGCGACAGCAAGGCAGCTTTGGAATAAATAAAATGAGCGAATGAATGAGAACTGCGTCAAGTGGGTAATCAAAGCGTGTGCCAAGAATTAATGTGCAAGCAGTGCACATAATTGTAAAAATGAAAATAATGACCGGCCAACAACTTCTCGGCACAGCTTCATAAGTGTAAGAATAATTAGATCAAATATATTATGCTCCTCCAAACAAGTGTTTATGGGAGAACGATTTGATGGTACTTGTACGCCTTGCTTGATTACTTACAAAAAACACCAGTTGTTAAGATGGTGGCGTACTCAAACGCACAAGGTTCATCACCAGAGCCATTCGAGAACAATTTGAAACGAATGTGAGTGTGGAGAGACAAGAAGAAGCACTGCACGGATCGAATGAGTACGCACGCCCGATCATAACTTCAGCCACACAAGTTAGAGTAGTGGTTATTTGATACTTCAAAGTGTCCTTCAGATATTATTTATAATTTGAGCAATTAGCTCATCAAGAGAACGTGTTTATAATAACAGAAAGCTTCCTTGACAAATAAAGAGTTTAAACCACTTGAGGCATAGAAGTCAATATATTATGCCCGTTTTAATAGATATAAATTAAAGTTGGATTATACATCCCAAAAATTAGAGGTGCACATAACCAGCTACGCGTCTACAGTAAATGCGCGATTAGAGGATGCTAAACGCCCTTAGGATTCCAAAGACTATGGAGAATCTCATAACGTGGATATTCATGCATAAAAAGACACTAATTTATGCAAATAACTTCACAATAGCATACAAATAGAGCGTTCGATATGTATTGATTGTGATAAGATGGCATTAGGCAGTCACAAGCGAGCAAACGATAGGGCTCATCCGTGACATTGTCTAGTAACACTGAAAGTAAATGGTATAAACATAGTGAAAAGTATTCGAAATTTGCTTAAAGCAGTCAACTTGACCGTTAATTTGGGGAAATAGAGAGCTCCCACACTCGTCATACAGTGCTGGGAAGCCGCACTACTTTATAGAAATAAGTAAGAGCACATGAGATTTCTAATGCAGCAATGAGACCCTCAAAATACCTTTAGAAAGCGACTGAAGGAAAGGCGTGCCACAAAACCCAATAGTCACCAAAAACAAGGCAGATCATGCTATCAGATCAGAAAGAGGGTCAAAACTAAGGGTGCGTCTTGTACGTGAACATTGGGGAGAATAAGGGTGGAGGGCATCAAGATGCAGGATGTCAATATTTAACTCCGTAATTGAATTTCTGAAATCGATCAATTAACAATTTATTAGGGGATGACGTGACAGGAAAGAGACTTAAGGCAACAAAAGTCATTTAGCGTGGGAGCATCGTACAAGGTCAAGTAGCTCAAATAAAGGAAAACAGGAAATTTCAGATCACCGTAAATCAGGGAAACGTTTCTTTAAAGACAATTAGGTGTCCATCGAGTAAGGAAACTTGACTGTAGTTTCCGTATTCGCACAATGTGGCCATCATAACACTGTGTAGAAGCCTGTCATGAACTTCTATGGTTTGAGCAAATGACGGTAAATTGCATAGATAGATCCAACAGTATTATTGAATGTGCACTATAGCGAACATACAAACAAGTTCCCACATCTTCCAAAACCAATGAACTTTCCACTTCAAAAGAGCAGACATTGCACTTCAAAGTATGACCGCAATCAGCCGACCGCACAACGTTATTGCCCTCATTGGACAAGGTGATTCAATAGTTCAAAACAGATGAAACTCAAAAATGCCTATTGTTCAAAAATAATTAATTGACAAGCAAAGAAAGAATACACATTAATTAGAATAAATTAGCCGGGCACAGGCTAATGCAGCAGGCACCCTGGCTAAATTAAGGGAAATAATGGGGAAAAAACCCAGCGCAACGAACTCTGCTGCTGACTCTGGGGGACCAGCGTATCTCCCTAAGTGTTCAAAATTGTTTGCATTTCACAAAACATAAAGACGATTTCTGTACAAAGATAAACGAGTAGATTCTATGCCAATCAAAACACCAAAAAAAAAGCACCGAAACAGCGATTTTTGCAATGCACTTTAGTAAAGAAATTAGGACATGTTGAGATGGTAACGCCTACATGGGTAAAGAGCCCAACGACCCCAATGATTATGCACCCGTATGACCTCGTAATGAGTCATCAGCCCTGCCCATTAGACCCACTCAGTGCAACTGATTAAGTTTGTCGAAAAGAACGGATCATTTCAGCAGCCTATCGGGTCATGTCAATATCTGAAGAATAATTACCCAGGGACAAACGATTAGGAAACGTTATAATAACTTCTTCACTCTCAAATAAAACCATCTGACCGAACAAAGCGCAATCTTGGAAGTTTTTTCTAAAATGCACATGTGATTGTTATGAAAAAAAAGTGTAAATACGCACAGACACCACCTTATTCAATGGCAAAACTAAGTTGTACATTAAAAATAATGGGTCGATTTGATTAATAGAAATCATAGGATTCGGATGGATTATTAACGTCTGTCGTCTGCATCTAGCTTTGCAAGTCAAAACTGTGATTCTGCAAAAAATATGCCTAGTTGATAAATAAAGTTCGGATAGCACGATGGGCGAGCACCTGTCTGCGCTAGTTTTCGTAAAGTATGCGCAAATGCCTCCGAAAATGTGATGTAAGACTGATTTACAAAGAAAAAAAATAAAATTTCCTAGGAAACTAGATTTGTGAAAAAAGTTATACAGTACGGTGACCGAACTCATAGTAAGCAGAACGTTAACAAACAGGGCAGCCGGAGTGCATGAGTTTCGAAATTTAGTTCGACAACCTAAGCGACGTTTCTTTTTGATGCGTAAGCTGAAAAAATACCTGACAAGGAATTGCGAGGTAGTCTGGCAATTCTTTTGGGAAAATGGAGAGAAAATGTGCCCAAATGAGTCAGTACAAAAAGTCACAAACGCTCCAACCAAGTAAAAGCTGCTGAATGAGTCACTGTGAGTGACAAAATGTTAGAAAGCGGGACAATCATGATGAATAAATAGCGTAAGCTACACCAAGATCAGAACAAAATGATGTAAATAAGGAGGAAAATTTGGCTGATTGTTCTTTTCTCAGAGAAAGTCAAATTCAATGAGTGGCACAAACCTATGAAATACATTTAGAATCTGCAAGCCAGAGTTTTAATATTACCGCAGTTTGTTAATTGGGTTCGTCCTACGATGTTTTGAAAAGAAAATACTTATTGGCGACTGAGTACAACCAAACACCGGGGATGCAACGCAAGTAGTGAGCGATTCATATGCAATGGGAGTGACAAAAAAGTCAGATTGAAACAGGGTATGGACAAGGGATGAAGATAGCCTATTAAGAACGAGCTTTAAAAATTGATAAGATAAACATACTTGCACTAGGACCCAAAGATGGCGTATCTGAGGCTCAGCAATAAGAACTTCAAGAAACTCGGTAACGGATATATTCGAAGCCAAAATTGTATCACTAAAAATCAACAAGCAATCTTGAATATAGAGAAGCGAGAGATGGTTGCAACGACATCTGGCCTATCGCGCGAGAGAATAGTGACTGTAGAGTACTTAAACGAGCAGTAGAGGGATGCAAAAACCAAAAAGACACAAATCGATCTAGAATCATACCGAACGTCTTAATTTGAAGACATTTATGCATTGGAGATAAGTATATCTGTACAAAGTCGATTACCAATAACAATTTTATAAAACTAAGGAGGTTAGATGATCATGAAAAATAGCATGATTCGTTTGGTTGGAAGCGAATTAAAATTGTTGACAAAGTTAGAAAAAATCATGGTACAAAAGCCAGAGAGGATCACAACAAGAAGTTAAGTAGATAGGAAACAACAAGACGCGAGTAAAAGCTATGCTTACACTTCTCTTTGAGTCTCAAAATTCAACGACGAAGAGTGTTCATCTAAAAAATTTTGTAAGTTAAAAATTCACACATTTACTAGCAAGCATAAAATCACTCATCAACTTTATTTCCTTTCCATAACGTTTATTTGCGTACGTGAGTTGATGTTTCGAATACAATCTGATTGCTGAAAAAAGCAAAAGCCGCCTAAGGATGAAACAAAGCAAAGATCACACCTAGTCCGAGGAGATTTAAAACCAACTGTGGATGATGGCAGCGCAGGCACAACTAACTCAAGTGTCTTTTTATTTTTCCCCTGAAAGAGATCAACCATCAAAGGAGACAAACTTACTGGTTCGAGCATAAAACAGAAGCGATCTTCACTTATGTTTGCAGTTAAAAATGCCGCATTCAAGCATTGTTCATAACACTCAGAATCCTTTAAAAATGGTCATGAAGGGAGCGCTGCCCACTTTATACAAGGGATATTTGATGGGTCCTTGAAATGGTACAACGCAAGACATCCGATCCGGTAGCACAAGTTTAAAATAACTCCCTGTTAGATGTGTGTCGGATGAAAACATGGCCAACTAATTTTCCGTCACAAATCTTATGCCTTGCAACGAAACTAAGACAAGTGCGCGGATACAAATGGTTACTTTCGTGGTTTGAAAATAGCGCCTTTAAATCAAGGTTATTAATGTAATTTATGTGTAATACATTTAATTTATAATTTTTAATCATTTTAAAGGTAAAATTAAGGTTTTATAAACAAACGCGTTATAACTTTTTGACTAGGAGCGATTTTTAAAACCTGTGAAAACCCATACTAGTTGCCATTACTCGGCTCATAACTTGCGGCACGGAACACCAGCCAATCTACCAGAAACTATACCAAATGACTTTTTTCTTTATTTTTATCCTATTATGAAGGTTACAGTTGCATTTGGAGAAATGAAGGTTGTTGTTCCTTGTGGATCTGGCGATTTTTCGGTCAAAGAGTTGGCCGCAAAGGCTGTGTATAGGATGAAACATTCTTTGAAGTCCGTAAGTCATCGGCCATATATGCGCTCGTTATTGCACTTATGTATTTCAAGCATCGGGGAGATCGGCTTTTTAGTTTGTGGCTATTCCTTCAATTTTAAGCTTAGATTTGTATCTCTGGTAGCTTATTAGATATTGAACAATCTGATAGGTTTTCTGCTTTTGTGTGTTGGGGATCCTTCCAGTGTGTAGAGTTACTGAGTAGCATATGATTGTGTTCTGTGACGGTTTTGGGTCAAACTTTACTGTTTTCGGCGTCCATTCTTTCACTTAAGGCATGCTTAATAGAATTTGCAGATTTTGAAGTTTTCTTTGTTGTGTGAACAACGGAGAATCAACAATATTGACGCTTGCTTAGTTATTGTGGCGTAGGTTAGTATGCCATTGTTTACCGCTCATTGGAATAGTTGCATAACAGCACCTCTATTTAATAAATGGTTTCATGCCTGTCTTTATTTTATTTAAGTTTAATGACGAGACTAAATGGCATTCTATAATGAGCTCAAATATTGCATTTTAGTCGTCAGACTTGGATAGAATATTAGTTCAAAGTTTGTCAATATCTCGTGATGGTGGTATTTTGGACTGGGATGATCTAGTCTCTGACGTTTTGGACGATCGTGAACAGGTAACACCGTACACCTTAACTTATATAGTGGCCGTCTTGATTATTGCTATGGTGTAATTTTTATATACATCCGTAGACCGAACATTGGCAAATCGGAAAATTTTAAAATTTTTGCGGTAACTTTTTTTGCTACAATTGAATGAAGTTTTATACCACGAGTAAATTATGATCGCCCTAATGATTGCAATACTAAGCTGGGTTATTTGTCACAAAGTAGTATTTGGTTCCTTGACCGCGATTACTTAGCCACACGTGTTAGAGAGCATGGGTAGGCGCGTGTCCGGCTGATTTCGCAGAATGCAATCGATGTTGACAAGCCATTGGTCTTCTCATTTCTCGACCCGCTCACACGTGAGCACCAGCGAGTTCATTCAGGTTTTTGGGTTTTCCATTTTCATCCTCACCGATTTACTGAAAAATACCGAACTTGGGGACGCTGAAAACTTGTTAAAACTTACTTTGGTGCCACGCATCCAAAGTTTTCATGACTTATACTGACCGTTTATGGGCACAAATTGGTTAAAACAGGATATTGCTAAGGCGTGTCGGAATGCGTGCTTTCCAAAAATACACGCTTTATTAAAAGTGACAGAGGTGCACGAGAGCGTTGAGCCTGCAAGCTATTGCGTTGCAAGTGAGATGTTATTGTTAACAAAAGTTCATAATCATAAAAACAACTTTTAAGGCGTTTCGGGTCAACTTTTCCATTGTAGTTGCCTGGCCACTGTATGAGCCTTTGTCATTTTGTGGTATTTTTAGAAGCACTTGCAGAAATTCTAAATATGTAAAAGCGTTGGAGGGTCACAGCATGAAATAATGTTATGGGATAAAAGGAAGTTAGGCTCTTTTTGATAGGCCCCCAAGGCCTTCAACTCTTTGTTACAGGGCACTAACAATCGATGCAGCATAAATGCAGCACATTCGCTATGACTTATTTGAAGGGCTAATGATGCTAACACCATTACTGTGATCTGAACTAAGGAAATGGCAATCACCGTTGCCTATGCTCGATTGAGAGGTCACTTTAAAGGTTGAGGATGCAATGAGGCACATACGGGGGGACAAGATTAAGAAGTTCTCCTTGCTAGATCCCGACACTTTAGAGCGTCTGTCTTCACCTTCAAAGTTTCACTTGCTTATCGTGAAGGTACTTTTCGATGTCGTATTTTGAATCTGCACGTAAATGGGCTTGTAGGAAGAGCGAACTCTAATCGCCCGAAATCTTAAATAATGGTCAATTTCGTAATTTGAAATTGCACATCGGAGATATTAACCGAAACAAATGAATTCATGGATCATAGGATAGTATTTTTAATTTAATAGCTTGTGGCGCAGTACTCCATTGAGTCAAGCCTCCCGGGACCTGCTTTTTCATCGACTTCGTTTACACCTGCTCCTACCTTGACTCCTCTCGTATTTGAAATTTCCCGGCTTCATCGTACCATCGGGGACCAAGATCCCGGTGCCAACAGCAATATGCTGCTCAGCCACGCACGTATTGGCCACAGTAATGTTGCAGGTAGTTCAAGCAGCAGTCTCAGTCTCAGCTCAGGGAGCTTAGGTGGTGGAGGCGGTGGGGGTGGCGTGGTAGGTGCTGTGCTCCATCATCAGCATCATCGCCAATTACCACAGAGCACACACGAGCAATACGCCATCCCGTCTCGGAATCTAAAAGCGTCCGATCCTCCAGATCACCAACATCATCATTCTCTTGCTCATCAGCAGCCTCTCAATGAAATCGAAATCCCTCCTGCAGGCGAGAACAGATATAGGAATTATTCTACCTTCTAGACTAATTATATACCTTATTTGACGCACGTTATATTCGAAAGTGATACTCTAATCAAATGGAATTTCTGTTGGGACCCTTAGTGTGTCTCACTTTTTTAATCCTTAATTTATCCTAATTTAGACGGAGCTGGTACGTTTATACTTTCTGCCATCTTGTTGTAACTTCTGAACATACGTATTTTAAGCCTCACAACGGCGCTTATTAAAAAAAGGTAACGAGGAAATTAAGTGTTACTCTTCGTCAGCGATTGTAAAAACCTTTGCAAGATTAATTTGGGTGGCGGAAGTGAGTGTTTTCTTGCCGTCCCACCTAGGGTTAGAAATTTGAGGAAAATTATCCGATTTTAAAAGATCTTTATTGGAAAATCTGGTAAGACTCTTCTGGTACATTGGTGCTCGAAATCTCCTTACTATTGAATTTAATGCAGTTCTCTTCCCAAGGGTATTGGTTGGTACTTTGAGGCTGTAGCACTATCACCAGTATATTTTGGGTCCATAATTCAAGACCTTTTTTCCCATTGTTCTCGCCTTTGATTTATCTAAACTACAAGTCCTGTAGGCGACATCTTATGGCATCTCTGGATATAAACCCATATTGTATTACTTGCTTCAGTTCATATTTACCGAATTACTCCGAAAGAACGATAGTTTGACCACTGTCTCTAACGCGTTTTAGACAGAACGCGACTCACATACCATGCCGAATCCAGCATCAGAGGTAGTCTTATCCGCTTAGCATTCTTGATGAATGATGAGATGGGTGTTGAAAGCATACCCGCTACTTAGCGTTGTTCCTCACCTTGGGGCTTCACCTTGGTTAGACACTTGTTGTCTATTCGTAGGAGGGATTCGCCGGGCTGTCTGAACTTTAAGCTTTGCGTGGCCGTTACTCAATTCTCTGGAGATGGGATTTTATCGGGCGTTATAAATCTACTGTGAAGTAACTAACTCGATTGTACATATGGAGTTATACAGAGGTCCCTTTGAAAGATATCATTTCAAGTAGCCTCATCGCATTACTGAGCTGTGCTGAATATGCCAGCACTGGACCTTATTAGTATTATGCTTATAATGCATTTTTGTCCCTTTGCTCTGTGGATCCATGGCCGAACACCAAGTATTGGCATCAATAATACAATATAACAATACGTCACCCTTGGCCAAAAAATGGCTCAGAGGGTAGTAGTGCAGCCATACTGCCACAACTCCAAATTTAAAGCACAACCGAATCGGCATGGATTTTATTTGGCTTCTTTTCCAAAACTTCAACCTATGCCAGTCACGTTATGTTGTACCACAGCTGAGTGCAGAATGTGGGTTTTGGCTTGGAAAGTTCGTAAAAGGGGACTGATAGATTGCATGTTCAGTACAAAATCGGTCCTCTTTCATGACCTTTGATGGTGTAGAAATTTCTGTTTTGATTTTGATGTTTCTCATTTATAAAAGTCATGTTGAGATCCTATGATTTATTCGTTAATAATGTTTTTTTATTTTGGAACGAGTTCCCACATTTTTTCCAGCAGTTGTGGTCTAATTTCTAAAATAACTGTGCTACTTAAAGAAAATTTTGCGGTTTAAATAGCTCTGGAAGTTTATTTCACCATAATTGTACGCACTTCATGAGTAGGTTTAAAACGAATGTGAAAATACTAGTCTTAGGGGTTGTGTACATTATCACCACTTTTAAAGGCTTCCTAGGTAGTTTGTTTAACCGTCTTTGTTGGTCTCTCAAGTGATTTTGTCATTCAAAAACATTTGTTTTTTAATTTGAGCCTTATTCGCTGGATTCACTGATCACTTTCAAATTAACTCGCTACCTTTTATACAGTCAGCACATCTTCCATAGCAATGACAGCAAAGGAAAATAAAAGTTGTACCAAGTTGATGTCTATTTGTATCTTCAACCCCTATTCTTTAGCTGGTTTTGTAAGTTGAAGTCGGTTCTTACCGGTTAGCAAGGCCTCTCAGGAGTACCAGAATTTAATGATGATGTTTACTGTTAATCGGTTACAGAGGTTCTGTGCCAAACTGGAATAAGAGAACAATAGTGGTGTTTGTGCTCTGAGATTTGTTGCAGTTTCCACGGTAGCTTGAATACACTTTTCGCGCTGTGGTGGCGCTATTTCACTTTAATCCCTTCTTAAAATAGAAGAACTTGTTGTGAAGTTTCGGTTTCAAATTAGTCTGAATTGCAGAATCGTGCACAGAATACAAGCTCGCCTTTTCCTAACAGGGACAAGATTCCATACCTATATTGTAGAAAGTTTTTTTGAACATTCTCTGTGAATGTGATTTCCATGGTTCTTAAGAACATACCTCAAATACTTTCGAAAATGATACACCAAATCCAGTACCGAGGATTCGCTTTCCCAACTATCCCCAACCTTCCGTCCACAATCTTCTTCCATAAAACAAATAGCCTTTCCCTACCAGAGAATTAAAAAGACGAATCTTACTTTCTATTATTTAAAGTGCATTTTTACTCTCGCCTTGCAGATATTTTTGAAGATCCAAATAAGGCGGACTCTGGCTACAAATCAGATCATACACGACTGTTTTGTGATCTTCCTTCACGAGTAGCCGGACGTCAGGCGCTTGTGACGCCACCTCTTCCCCCGCCTATTGTATTCGACTATGATAAAAATGCAGTTTCAAGCACAATGCCACAGCATTCTGTGAATAAGGTCACTCCACAGTCCCCTACTTCCTTTGAGACACCCTCCACCAACACTCGTTTGGGTCTTCCTTTCCTTGCATCAGACGATGTGGCCATGGACAAGGTAACACTTTAAGCAAGAAATCGTGCACGCTATAGCGTTAAAAAAGCCGCATCTTCATTTTGCCTATAGGTTTTCGTCTAAAAAACTTCCAGGTGCCTTCTGTTTATTTTGGCCGTTTATTTCAAAGGATGTCCTTATTGCTATTCTTCAATTTAGAATGGTGCCATTCCGTTGTTTTGTTAAAATTGCTGGCTCTTGTTTATCAAACAAGTCTGCATAATGAAAGCGCTTGAACTTTACAGTTAACGGATACACGTTTCTGACATATTTCATAAGTCGCATTCAAGGAACTAGGAGTTCTGGCTTTGAAGCTTTGTTTACCAGTTTCACTCGCTTGTAGAATTGTGAAGTATTTGAAATGCCTTCAGGATTCAATGAGTCACATCGCCAAACATATAAATTTTATTTTGGGTTCCGATCTGGTTCGAGTGCAGCAATTCACTTGTTGAACCGTCGTAAATACCTTAGCCGTTATGATCCTTCCATTTATGTGCCTCTTTTCTGTAGAAGTTAATAAAAGTTAGTGAGTTACTTATGCACTTCTAACGAAAGCACTTGTCGAGGCTGCCGTGCATTATTTTGCTTCAAAGTCGTTAATGGAACGTGAATTTATTCTATATAGTGCATATTTTTTGAGAATGTAGATCAACACTTTGCATTAATTTAGCTTTCTGAGGTTCTTTCAAGACAACGAGCACACTTAAAGAGCAATTGGGATTATGGGAAAGACGACTATGCAGAAGACGATGAGGAAGCAGATGCTGATGACGACGAAGACGATGTAGACGAAGACGACTTTATGGAAGTCTCGGACGCAATCAGTGGAAAAGGAACAGCATTTTTGGCAAGTGCAATTGCAATCCCTACGACACCGGTCGCCGAGACATCTATGACCGCTAGTAGCTCTGGCAAGCGCTCAACGGCAACCATAGGCACTGACGGTGAGGGCGGGAACTTCAGTGATGAAGGTCTTTCCACCGTCAGGCGGGTTATTCAACCCAAGGAGACCGAGTTCGCCTCTGGTCCTGACACTTCATCAAATTCGTCTTTCACTGGTACTCAGGTAGGCATTTGAACGTATCCAAACAAATATGTGCAAAACCTCAAACTAAACATTTTCTTTTCGAAAAACAAAACTAGACTTTTATGTCTACCTAACCTTACCGGTAGGTGATCTAAACAAAAACCTTTTCCTCAATTTATCGGTTCGATATATTTGTTTCGCTTTTTTTTTAAAAAAATGTGCAATAAACCACACTGGAATTTTCTCAGTTGAAGAATTAATATTCATTCCATTGTTTCTTAGACTTCGAGGGCTCTGGAACCACTCATCTCATTTGCTGATACTCCTCAAAAGGAATCTTCATTCCTGGGTATTCTGTTTTTTTTAAAAAAAAAAGAAATTTTATTCTGCTTTTTTCCATATTGGTCACTCTAGGATTTTTACCTTTCCAAAAACGTGCACATGAGGGCTTTTTTCTTGTGAGAACAGGTAATTTGTACGTAAAACTGGCGAATTGAATGATTCATTGCACCTACTCAGAGAAACATAGATGATTGTTTTCGAAACTCTGACATTTACGGTTGTGTGCTTGTACGTATTGATTCCTAATGCCTTTTAACCTGACAGACTGGGCGCCCTTTCAACAGCGTCAACAGTCTACTTTGGCTGATCGTCAGCGTGTTCGCACTCCTCCGGTAAGCAGCGTTCGGAGGACAATTCCGGAGGAGAGAGAAGGCGATAAGGTGGAGGCAAATCGGAACAATCATGCATGTAATCAACCACTTGTCAAAGCGAAAGCCAAGTCTTTTGTCCCTGGTGTCTGTAGACCATTGCAGAAGACGATTCAAGCTTTAGGAGACGAGGGCACAGAGGAAGAAGCTGAAGCTGAAGAGGACTATCCCATGCTTAGATTGGATTATCGCCTTAAGTATGCTGTCTCGTTTATTTCCCTTTGTCACGTCAGTGCTTTGGCTATTTCTTGCTTGGATGAGATTTTGTAATTTTGGGGATGCTTTGCATAGATTCTGTATTATCCCAGCCATACTACTCAAAAATTGAATGATATTAAACCCCTAGTCGGCGACAATCCCTCAGACAATATTGGAACCCAGCTTGCTACTCCTCTTTGGTACCTCTAAAATCTCAGTGACAGCTGGTTTGAGCAACTATAAGGTCCGTGGTAGTGATAGCAGTATTTTATGGAATGACGTAACAACTGTTTCTCTCAGGCTTTCTTCTCTGTGTTCTTCGATAGGTCGCGAGTAAATTTTTTGGAAAGCCCTCTGCCACTTGAAGTTGCGATTGTCCATTTTTAGTTGCTTATCACAAACGCTTTGCGTGTGTGCAGCCTTTCATTTCCCCATTTTTCAATTCGTCCTGCATTTGTGGCAATTTCTAGGTTTTTCGTCGACCTTAATGTGACCTTATATTTACTGTAAGGAAGATGAACTTCGGTGCTATGATGTCAGCATTTAATCCGCTTCCACAATCAATGGAAAGCATTATTAGATTTAAAAATTTATTTGGTGATCTGGGACTGCTTTTTATTACGTGCTTGAATATCATCTTTCATATTGGATGCATGTATCGATATCATGCCTTATACAAATTTAATTTAATTTTTCTCTCACAATTAAAGGGGAGATGGTCAAGACGCAGACATGGTGACCGGTAGTCCTCCAAAGTCAAATCCAGCACCACAAGTACCAACAGCAGATGAGCTCCACCAACCTAGTCGACCACCACATCGAGGCTTGACCACCCCTGCCGTTCTACAGTGGTTGGAATCTACTCAAGCTGCGACCCAAGCCGCTGGAGGGGGGATTTCACCATTTGCAACGCCTTCCAGCATCATCTCGGGCTCAAGTTCACTCGCGCACACCTCGACTGGGGTCTGTGAAGAGGAGACAATCTCTGCCAGCCAGCACGACCTTGTCAGTCGTGTCATTCGACGAAATGTCCGCGAGGCCTCTGAGGATCTTCGCCGAGGCTTTTTCCTCGCTGGTTACCAGTCAGAGCCGTTAACCATCAGATTTGCAAATGCCATGCCAGGAGAGAACTTGGGTATTCAAATTAAGCCCATCTTTGCTGATCCGTCGGAAATCATGTCTTTTGCAGGAGGGTTAACTCTACATCCAAATTTGAATGGCAAATGGCAAGTTGGAGCTGTGCATTGGAAGTTTTTAATTTTTTTGCTATGTAAAAAATGTGCACTTCGTTATTATGCTCCTTCTCCAGGAGTTTGGATTATTCTGCCCTCAATTTAGTGATAAGCCTAACACTGGGCTCATATTTACTAGAATGAAGTAACACAAATCAGGAATACGAGCTGTAGTTTTAATGGCCTTTTTCCTTCCATTTTTTTGTTTTACAAAACTATTTTAGGTTTTTACTGAACAACGTAGGAACTACTGTGACGTTAAACTTGGTTTAACAATACTAGAGGCGATATTATAGCTTATAGACGGATTACTAATAAAATTATCTGTGGTAAAATGTTTCATTTCCGCTGCGCTAGTTCCTGAAATTTTTCACGATGTCTCGCAGGCTCAAGAATTGGGACTTCACCTAGTAAGGTCAATTTAAACTAATTACTTCCGTTGCCATTAATTCCACATAACACATTGGTTTCAAACCTGCTACATGATCCCTTTTCTGGAGTCGATGATCCCTGTAATTACCGCTAAAACATGCTAACAATGCCCTGCTACAATAAAGTCGAATTCCTAGGACCTGTTTTGACGAGGAAATTGGGTTTGCTCAAACTCTTCTGCACTTCTGATCTGAATTTTGTAGAAAATATCTTGCACTATTTACTTTTTTAGTGAAGCTGGACTCGAAGTTCATGCCATTATGCCGAATGGTAGAGTGGCACGTGAGGGCATCTTATCTGTTGGCGATCGAATTTTGAGCATTAATGGTACTTCGCTCATCGGAGTTCCTTTTGATAAGTAAGTATTTTAATTTTCCCTGTGGTGCCTTGATAGCGATCCCACTTTTGCACAAAATGCTAGAGACCTGATCCGTATGCCATTATGAACCGAAAAGCTAGGACGAGGTTATCATTCATTGACTTTCAACAGATTGTTGAGTTAAGGTTTACAGCATGGTATAGTGTTCTCCTTTCCCAGTCCTTTCAAGAAGTTACTCAAGTAGTTGTGAAGCAAAGCCTTATTAATAATGTGGAAATTGGAGTCATTTTGTTCTAAAATATCTTAGTCGATCTTACCAGTGCTTTTCACACAATTATTGATCTGAATGTACCCATTCTCGATTTCACTTTGAATGTCAATTATTAGCAAATAACTATTTTTGTTTCGCGCTTAGTGATATAAGAATAGGAGGCCTTGATGTATTAACATGAATAGAGTACCCTTATCGGTAGCATATGCGGGTTAGTGAAGTTCTTTAGAAGATTCTGTGCTTGATTGCACTCTTCTTTTGCTTAAATCAGCAACATCGATGCAAATATTTTGCCTCATTATCAGACGTTGAAATTACGTTCGTGGAGTAACCTGGTTTGAGGAATCTCTATTTAGTAATAGGTACTTGCTGTTGACTCCAAGTTATCAAGTCGGTTTTTGTCTTCCCTCTTGAGGTGTATCGGTATCACAAAACATTATCCGTCTCATCCTTAAAATCGCTTTAAGAAAATAGTTAGGGGCAAATAGTCTGTCTCTGGGACTTGCGTTACAAATGGAGCTACGGCACGGCAAGGGCTGCCTATCGTGCACGTCTCACAACGCCCAAGAATAGACGTAACGTGCGTGCGTGTACACTCGTACGACCTTGCCTAACCAATCAAGGCAGAAAGACAACATTGCTGTTGCCGTAGGCGTTATTACCAAACCCTGTCCCAACACCTATCACGGGCTTGTGTGTGTGTAACCGTACGTCCTTACAGTTAGGACAATTTAGTGAAGTAAATTACAGTTTTGTGAATAATGAATGGATAGAAAGGCAGTAATGTACAATAGGGAATGATTTAGTTTCCTTTATCTATGCCCTCTGCATTAACCATGCGAGATCGTTGGGCACCCCTCATGAACAGCTTCTCCTGAGGGCAATGGTTGGATCGATTTGCTGAACTTTTGGGTAGCCGAATATCAGATAGGAATTTATGTTTGTCATTCCAACGGTAAGACAAAATATGCCTTTTAACATCAGGAAAATGAACTCGTGGTCAGTACTTAGTTGTCTTATCCGAAAGTGTAGTAAGGTTGAGTAATTCAGGTATTGAGAGTTCCAACTCAGCTCCTGACATGCTGCATTCCTCACTTTCATTCGCCTTCATTGTGGCAACATCTCCTCATTGTTGTCAATACCGTAATTGCACAATGTATTGAGGTTAAGTGTTCTCTACTCACCCTGGTCGAATAAGGTGCTATTGGAATACCTCATTGAGCCGCCTTTTTATACGCCCATATTAGTGACTAAATTTTTTTGACATTTGTAGTATCTGGAGGCTCAGTCACTACTAACTCGATGTTCTGTGTTCTTCATGGATAAACTCTTGAATACGTTGTGCCGCTCTAACTCTGGAAATGTATTCACACGATATTTAGACACAAAATGCAGGTAATATGCAAGAACTCTTATCAGATTCAGATTATTACCATCTTTCCTTATGGAGGGACAGTAGCGCTAATCCTATTCTATTTAAATACGTACGTCAGAATAAAAACGCATAGGACAAGTGCTATGTACTGCGAAAGTTTTAAAGTTCTGGGGTCAGTTGATTCCCAATGGTTAGGTTGGTCGTGTGTACTTTAGCCTGTTCTTTAACTCGAACGCATACATTGCTTAAATGTTCCAATAGTTGTCGCTTGAAAGCAAGCTACATATTTTATGCTACTCGTATTGCGTTTTAATCCTGCCTTAATTTTTTTTGGGAGGTGAATTTTAACTTCTCCAAGGTCAACCGCCTTTGTGCTGCAAAAAAATAATGTAAAGAAAAGAGAAGTGATGTAATGCCTCTTCTCAAAAACCGGTGGGTTGATAAGTTATCCATTTAAATGGACTTTGCAGTTGTACAACTGTTTATTAAGGGTGTAGTTAGTTGAAGGCATTTCATATCCCACCATTTCATCACATAAGTTTGAGAGGTTTGCTTTCAAAACTTGGATCAAGTATAAATCAAAGGGGAGATGGCTACCTCGGTAGCATCAGGTGAATTCGTGCGCTACCTTTAACCCCTCTGGACACTTTTTGGGCAAACCAAGTCAATATAAAAATGCACACCTGTAGTGTCTTGGTTGTGGAATTCATGCTTTTAACATTCTGTCCTTGCTGAAGGGACTATCGCTTATCCAAACATTACCTTTAACCCAATGAGCCACTAGCTATTAAGAGTGTACGCCTCCATTTAGTTATTTTATTTGTGTTCATTGGGCTGTGTTCAACTTTACAATGTACTCAAAATCCAGGCCTCGTGAATTCAGATCATGCTTAGCACAACTAATAATTGTGCTGTATTTCTGTTTCATGGAATTCTGCTCAAAAATCAGCATAAAAGTAAGTTCATTGTTTTTGTGAATAAAACTAGGACAATGGATGAAATGACATGGTTAACTTCTATCCTGGCAACATCATGGCACTTTGCTTTTGATGAATTCATACAAACATGCGTGGCTTGCTGGATCAAGCCAACTATTCCACGCTCTATTGTGTTCTGCAGGGTAAGCAGAGAGATAAGCTTCTTTACTTCCTACTTGGTTATCTAAATGCCCAAAAGGTAATTCCTTTTAGTTTCCACCATGCAAATTATGAATACTGAAATTCTGCTTACAGCTAGTAAACTAGCTGCCTCTTGGTCCAGTCATCACCGGCATGTGTTTACTGTGCGGATTTTGGAAGGTGTTGTACGTCTAGAAATGAATTATTGTTAAGAACTTCCTTATGAATATTTAGAGGCAAAGACATTTTTCAAGAAGCATTGAAGAACCAAGAGTTAGTGCTCCGGGTGCTTCCTTACACTGGCAAAATCGCTCGTTGCGCCTCTACGGCCAACGACTCTGGGCCCTGTTCAAGTCCACCTCTCCTTCCCACACGTGAGGTTGGCGCAGTCGTAACGGATAATGAGAAGCCCAAATGTGGCCTTGTGATAGTGGTTGATAATTCGGGGAAAGCGAAAGAGGCGGCATCCTCAAAACCGGGTCCACCGCCCCCACCTAGACGTTCGCCACACACTGCACTGTCACAAGGACGGCAGCAGGCGAATGAAGCATCAGCGAAAGCCGCACCTATTCTCCCTCCGAGACAGAAGCAAGAAGCCTCGCATTCACAAGCCTTAACCTCCGGTCTGGAGACGAAAACTGTCCGTCTAAGAAAAGGTAAGTTAAGTTCCTGCAGCAAATCCCTCGAGATAAGGCATAAGTGGCATTTGTTGAAGACTTATGAATGCTGCATGTTATAAGCCGATTATTGATTGCATTACCAATGGTTTAGAGCGCCCACTAAATATACTTTGCACAATTTTAATTTCGGATCATGTTATTTGGACAAAATGGCAACGTAGTCTTGATTCAGTAGACTACAAATAAAACGATTATTCTGTTCTATAGTTTCGCGCTATCCGTTTGTTAGTGAAGCCGATTGTTGAAGTTTCTGAAACCCTTCGCAGAATATTCTGTCTCAAGTCGGCTTTGTGAACAGTGTGCTATCAGCTGTGAACACAAATGGCCCAACATTTCCCAGATTACTGCTGCATCTCTGTTAGCGGCCTGACAATCTTGCTTTGCTGGTATGGGGTCGGTAGAGTGGCCGGGGTGCAAAGGGATGACTCACGCGTGTGTGCTGCCGTAGCTGGGCTGCCTTTGGTTCGGCTGTAGACTTTGATTTGAATTGCTCATTGAGGGAGTTTATGACCGATGGGATAACTGAATTTGACAACGAATGGTAACTGAAAAAGCATACCACAGACTCTCTCTCCACCCCTCATTTGGGCACCATTTGAACTGTGGCACACCTTCAAATAATGTTTTAGCAACATTCATGCGGAATCGTTGCTTGCACGTTCTGCGTCATTATTTGTGCGGTTCGTTCTCATACCACTTCAGGACGCATTTCCCTTCCAATGAGTCAGCAAAATTACATGCTGATAAAACAAGGCATCATTGAATTTACTGCCACTCAGGCTTGGTGGAGCTTAAACTAGGTTCCAAAATAAGCGGTTTAAGATGACCGCTGCTCAATCTCCAGAGTTGTCTGCATGTAGTGATGCTGCTCGTTTTCCGTTCGATGGTCTTTAGAAGAATGAATTTCCCAACCATTAATTAATGTTAGTAGGATCATGTGTGGACTTCGGTGTTCTAACGGCATCACTAAGTATTGCCTTAAACATCTAGCCTTTAATGCCAATTATTTTGCTCTCACGCGACTTGGCGATGCCAAGGACTCCCATCTAGCACAAATGACGCCATTGAACATCTTATGTAGGGGCTTCTGGCTTGGGGTTCAGTTTAACCAGCCGGGATCAACACCAAAGAAAGCCTAACTGTCTGGTCTTCATCAAAAACATCTTACCTGGTGGAGCCGCTCTTCTGGACGGCAAACTAAAGCCTGGTGATCGCCTCCTTATGGTGCGTATGCGGTGTTATTTTCCATTGTGTGCATTGCCTTCTTCTGTAATTTTGCCTCAAAAATGCAAAATTCAAGTGCCAAATATGAGCTACCAATACAGTACACTAGCATGATCAAATCGAAACCCAGCCACTATGTTGATTTGTACGAAACCAATGGTAAATAAGCAGGTGAGAAAAGATCTTAGAGACCATTTGGTAGTTTTCTGGTTTCTTGCCTCCGTGACTCATGCCTGAGCGGAGTGGCTTCCCGTAACCGCGTCAACGCCACGCAACGCGAAGCCACGCGCCTACGTGAGCTTACCATTGGATTGGACGAAGCCTTTCACTGGCAGGTGCACCTCGGTTGCCATCGCCACACAATAGTGGCTTCGAGACCTGGTTGGCTGAACAGGTGAAGCAAGTGCATAATTTACTGGCTGAAATGCCACGACTTTTAGTTAAAAACGGATGTTTTCTTCAAAATGGCAATAATTATGGTCAGACATGGGGGTAGTAATTGGTCAGTATTCGGAGGCCAAAACATTTTTAAAGTTCCTGATTCAGCAAATGATGCATATGAATTGCTTGTAAATAGGATGTCAAGAAACATTGGGCGGATTTTCTCTCCATCTTGGCGCCAGCCCCAAAATCCCTTCTGAGTGCAACTTTAACTGTGCATAAACGATGAAATCTTTGGCAATGCGAGAAATGACCACTTTAATTCATTTACCATCCATATTAAATTATTACGCTTGTCCTCTTTTGTCCACTGGAAGATATGAAACGAAATAACACGGAACTAAAACAGAATTCTCAACAACGAGCCAATTGCTTCTCATTGTTCGCTTACTTTTCTTCACAAAGCATCCGTATTTATACTAGGTTACGGCTTAAATACGATTTTTTTTGAGAATGGGCTGAACGAAATATGAGGTTTAGCTCCACCGGGTGGCTGATTCAACGTTTAGATCATTTTGCCCAATCCTCCTTCAAAATTCACCGAAGTTTAGACCCAATTGTCTTTAGTAGACAGTTGCATATCCTTTCAGCTCACGTATATAAGGCGCCACAAAAAATAAAGCCATCAGTTCTACAATTTGGCGAAGTATTCGAACTATTAACTTAACTGAGCATTCACATTGAACAGCAGGTACATCATTGTGGACGTTCTTTACGCACTCCGAGTAACTGCGGCCTCTAGCGTAATCGGTAGAAATTCCTAGAATAGATAAGAAAAGCAATGATACGAAGGTAAATTAATAGTTGAATTCATGGTACGTTTGCCTTTGTTTAACCAAAGAAGTCGAATAACTTATGCATCATTTGAGGGAAAATGGACAATCAAAGCGCTTTATTAAGGCTCGCTTTTGTATCATCCATTTTATTTATGGATTTGAAGCTGATTATGTGTTGATGGTTTAGCATAGCAATTCACCGCCTTTTTCAACACGGAAACGTTTTGGAAAGTTGAAAATGCATTCTTTTTAATATAAATTCCGGATAATGGTACCACATATCGTTCGATTCTGCCTTGACGTATAACAATACCTTAAATAACAGGCAGTTTTCTGCAGATGTTTGTGCCTAGAACGCATTGTAACTACACACATCAACATACTTTGCCTTACTTAGCTTGAGGTACCATGATGCATTAGTCGACTAAGGTAGCAGAGACGTGAAGGTGGCCTATTTTGCTTTCAGGTTGATGATAAGGATGTTTCTGAGTTGGGTCAAACGGCCACCGTGGCGTTGTTAAGGGAGAAACCAATTGGAAGCCTGGTCACCCTTGTGGTCCTGTCTGGCCCCCACCATCAGGGGCAGAGCTACTCCTCGACTCGAAACAGTGACGACACGCGGAGCAACAGAATTGACTCGGCACAAAATGTAAGCATTGGATTCCATCGTTTTTCATAATTTTTCGGTTTTTGATTATGCATTATAATTATTCGCGAAGTCACTACGTATACTTAATGTTTTAACTTGGCTTGATTGACGCATGCCTATTTTACCTCGCTGAGGCCTAAGGAGTGAATAATTTTTTGGTTCGAGGTTTCCGTTCTTCACGTGTAAAGCTGCACATTCTACAAAAAATGTGATCTTTGGGTGGTACTCACATGAAAATTTGCATGACATAGTTTCGTCAATATCCAAAAATGAGGAATCTATGGAGATCCACGCCTGTGACGAGGATTAAACGTGTCTTATTTGCGGATTCCCAGATTGCTCTTCATGGGTTGAAGTTGCTCAAAAAAACTTTTGCTCAGGTGCTTTCCGGTGAGATAGAAAATTAGGTGCCTTTAGTTTCTCGACGTCAACCGTGCCATGTCGCCCTTCTTTTTGTGGAGGCAAAGGCTACCCAAAGTAATGTTCCTACGCGTGGGAAAGTACGGCAAAATCTGTGCATTATTAACCCAAATAATTCCTGCAAACGTATCTAGTTCTCTATAACTCCAACGATTTTGGAGAGCATTGGTTTCGATTTGTGTAAAATGAAAATTTAGGGTTATTTACTAGAGATTTTGGACCTTTCTGGTTCACCAGCTTCGATGTGTGATGCAACGACCGTCAACAAAAATCGGCACGCGCTGTGGCAACTTTCAACTTTCATCGTAGAGCACTCCACACGATCCTTCAAGTTTGTGAAATCTTGATTGGTCAGAGAGTTTGTGACGAACAATTGTTTTTCGTATGATTAAAGAGACTGGGTCTTTTAGTTGCAGGAAGTCAACAAAGAAGATTCCTTGAAATATTTTGCGGTGGACCCTACCGTGGTAAAGTTGCATACCTTTGAAATTCCAATCTCCTGTGGCTCCAAGAATGAAGCTACAGAACGCATCGACCCGAAAACGTCCAACCGCTCCTTCTCCATACCCTCTTCCTTGCTGGCTTCGGCCTTCACGCTGGGTGTGAGCGTGCGGGTGTGCCCCCTCAACACAGACGACTGCTCTGCCGAAGTCCTCGAAACTGCCATGAAAGCCGTTGCTAAAACTACCGCTGTCACCTCTGCAGAAGTCACATCTGACATTAGTGTCCGCGAGGACTGCAGTAAAAACGGTGTCTTCGTGCGCACTGTCATTCCTGGAGGCGCCGCACATAAGGTGTTGAGCACCAGAATTAACATAGTTTTACTTTCATTGAACACTATTAAAGTCGCCAAAAAGGAAGCAGGTTTGTTGTTTAAATCAAGTGACTGTCTCGTCGTTCCTTTAAGTGACCAATTTGCACAAGGATGACTTTGATATAGGGTGAAGGCCTCTTTGAATAGTTCATGCGATATTGTGTACAAACATGCGTTATAAACTCTCGCCTTCATAGCCGTCTATACTGTCAAACGGTTCTGGAGTCTTTTTTTTCATTGTCCGCTCTTCTGAATTCGACTTCTGCATAAACATTCTGTTAACAGCATAATCTCAAGCCCAATATTCTCCTCTCCATACTGCCTTAACAGTTAAATAAACCAAATAGAAGCTTTGTCGTCTTTGTAGTATCTTTTTAGAGTTATGATCTGTGACGCTCCAGGGTAAAAACTCATCTCCTGCCAGGTCTCGTCCTAAGGAGCGAGTACCTCAGTATTATGAATAATATGCAGTGAAAATGGAATGGTGAATACCAATGCTGCGATCATACATAGTGATAGAACAGTAAAAAGGATTCACTTTTATGAGCTGACTACATGTTTTTGAGGGTTTTATTTAAGAATTTTAAAGTGCTTTTTGTATTCGCATGGTATCCAGTTGATACCTTTGAGCATTTAAAATGACCAACACTTAAGGTGATTAATAAGGCGTAGTCAATTACTAAGGTCAATTACCTACTAAGTCACCTGAATGCCGAAGATGACTCGAATCAGTCTTACAACTGTTTGCATAAAGTATCTTTGAAGACGATCTCAATCTTTGCTTGAAGGAAATTTTAAATCAAGTTTGAAAAGTTGGTTGAACAAACTCTACCTCCACATCAAGTTGGCTTTTTAGTCCATAATGGGGTTAATTTATGTTGAGTTGAGAACGAGTAAAGCAAAGTAAACGTGTCAAACACTAAAATCACCCTTGCTGCAGTTTGGCTTCAACTGATTTCTGAGTCGTGCTTCCAGAATGAATGAACAACCCACATTTGAGCATGCAGGCTGACCCCATTCCTTAATTACATCCAATGTGTGATAACCTCGAACCTCTTTTTTCCTACCATAGCCCTTTTGTAACTGAGAGACAAGGTAACTTGAATGTGTCGGCCTTCGAAGACGATGCTACCTGCTTTGAAGGCCGTTAGTTAAAATCAAACTACTGGACTGATGCAAATCGGAGCGGATTTGGGGTTGTTGTGACACTGCTCCTCCATTAAAGCAATGATCGCAAGTATTTTGATTCCTAAAAATTACTGAGCGAAAGTAAAGCCTCAAGAATAGGCTTTTTGGGTTTGCAAAACATTATTTCACCAAGTCCGTTGGTGAAAATACACAAAGAACTGGTGATTCTAGTTCCTCCCTTACTGCACCAAAGCTGGCGAGCGTTGGCGTCAGATAATGATAAAATTGAGCGATATTTTTAGAACTATAAAATACTTGATTTTAGTGGCAGCTTACCGGATCTCTTGACTCTTTCAAATTGTTTACTTTGTCAATGGGTACACTATTTTTGTGGACCTTTGTAATCGCACTTAGCTCTGTCTCATCATTGCTTAATCAACCCCATTTTTTTCCGTGCTTCTAGTGGTTCCGTGGGTAATAGCCAGCCATATTATTGGTGAAGTGCAAAACCGGTCCCGGTAACTAACACGCTGTTAGCTGTTCTGATGTTCCTCAATCACTTTGTCAATGTTGTCAATAAACGTCTCATGTCAGAAGTGCTGCAGAACGGCCATCTATACTAGCCTAAAGCTTTCATTTTTCACACTTCCAGTTAAATATAATCTACTTTGGTAGTATAATTCACAAGAGAGCTATCTCAGCTTCTATCGGCTTATGTGTTCCTGTCATTTTCGTTGACACTCCTGAAGCGGGTACGAGAAGTGTAAACGATGCCTCATTCTCTTGCGCTCTTTAACTATGGGTCCGTGAACTTCAGTAAATTCGGCTTTTTTTAAAATGTTGTAATCGATTAATGATGCTGTACAGTATTGTGTAGGAGTAAGGAAATACTGTTTTCTTACATTTTCATCGTCTTAAGATTACTTGACCTTTTCAACGATTCCCTTCAGACATTCTATGGTGCAACGCTAATTGCATCTAATCCCTTCCATATAGGACTAAAAACGTGTTATCAATATAACCCATTCTTTTCAACGGAGTTTTCATATTTTAATGCACCGTTCATCCCAGACTTGTGTCGAATTAATCTCGTTTCAATGTTCTGATCGTTGAGATTAGTTTCAGCTAGGAAGTAAACAGCACAACAAACAGTTTAGTCGAAGTAATTGCTTTCATCTGCATAATCGAATCCCATAGGAACATCTATGATTGTAGGACGGAAGGCTAAAAGTGGAGGATCGGCTGTTGGCGATCGATGATCATCCACTATCGTGCCTATCATCTTCGGATGCGCTCAGCTTGCTCAAAACCTCGATTTCCCGTATCACTGCTGATAGAGAGCCCTTTGTCCGACTTCTAGTGGCTCGTAGAATCCATGGCGTCGCCGTGGAGGCACCACAAATACATCCATCTCAATCAACTACAACAGAGGCCCTGCCGAAGCGTCTTGGTAACTCAACGAACCTGAGGCGAAGCGAAGGTGCAAGCTCAGGGTCATTGGACAGTTTGGTGTGTGATGTAATGCTAACTGCATTGTTAAATGTAATTTCTTATAGCGTCATGATCTGCGAGCCGATGCGTTTGTAACAAGTTGCTTATAAGATAATTAATGATAAAAATTAGTTATACTAATATTTATGGAAGAGAGCATTTAAACTTTATTCTGACACAGTAAGGAAACGTATGTCTGAAATATTTCAGACTATTCGTTGCATAAGGTACCGTAGCGACTATTTATAGTCGAAGAATTTTTCATCCTCGGCAGCTCATCGATGCAGCAAACCGCATGAATTCGTTTGTGGTGTCAGCAAACGTTCACCAGACGGCCCAAGATGAAGCTCCTCAGCCCTCTACCTCCACGAGTGGGACTCGACAACAGTGCAGTGCTCTCAAAAAAGACCAAAAGGTATGTTCGTTCTTACCATGAAGCGTAGATGTGGAAAGCCCGGTCTTTGAAACGATATTGAGGGAAGGTTTATATTGGTGGTAGAGAATGATATTGCCATTACTCCGTGCATGGCTGGCTGTGGGAAGCTTGCTACTCGCCATGGTGGTTCAGCTTGCATGCAACAAGGTTGCCTTGCTGTTTGCAAAAATAAATCGCCTATGCACATGTTAAAGTTTTTTTTATTGTTCGCCAAAAGGAATGGCACTTTAACTCACATCTATCATAAGGAATTGGTTCTTCCCAAAGGAATTCATCGTTTGGTTATGGAGATTACTTCCTCCCAGCACTACGATATGATCCGATGTCACAATTCTGTGGAAGAATAAAGCCATTAATTAAAGCAGCGTCTCCTTGATGCGTCAGAGTCAAACGTCTTTTTGTCTTTCATGGAAATAAATGACTATTCATTCGTACGATAGGATTGCAATTTATTAGACATAAATAGGGCATCAAAGGCATATCTACCCTTGATTAGTTCTATTTGCAATTTTCAAGACGTCAAATTGTCTCTTTCATAGGAACGTTGATTGATGATCAATGTTGGTCAATTTTTCGGGCATAGATAGCCGTAATCCTAAGAGATTTCCAAACTTTTTCGGATTGTCGCATTGAAGTTAGGTAAAGTGAAAATAGCGAAAATTCATGGTTTTGAAGCCTTCATGCTCTTCAAATTTCCCTTCACAACGGCAATCTTACGTGTTGTTACTATTAGAGCGTGTGTGTTTGTGTGGTTAACTTGTTATTTATTGCGTTAACATTCTCATGCCAATTGTAAATTGATCAGGCGTAACCTCGTATCCTTTCATTTTTCGATCATGTCCATCATGCTCCTCTTCACCGTCGCCAATCGTTGTGTTTCCCCAAACCCACCAAACCCCAACTTCAACCTCTTACTTTTGGGCCAATGTTTTCGGTATGTTCGTGAACGTCGCCAACGCCGCTCCCCTGTGCACCGCCTGCTGATTCAACATGTGCCCTGTTGAATGATGTCCACGCCTACGCACACTTATATCTCACCTCCTCCTCCCTTTTCCCCTACATACACACGCACACACCAACCATCACTTCCTATTTCACATTCACAGCAGCTTGCTAATGTTTGATGCGTGCTCTTTCCCCTCCGGTCCTAGTGTTGCATGCATAAATGAGTGTACGCGTCCATGTGTCCCCTTTGCGCTCGTCGTCCTCTAGCCGCGTAGTCTCAGTTATCCAGAATACATCTGATTGTGCTTATCCAACCACCACGAAATATTTTAAAAAGGTTTGTTCTGTCTACACATGACCCTGCTCCTTTTAATAACCTGACGTTAGTGAGGTGCTAAAACCTGTCAAGAAGCATGACACTCTTTGAGGCATGAGATACCATTTTTGCTGGTCCAATATAGTCTCGCTTATGAATAAAAAAGGTTGGAGTGTTTGAATGAGGACTTCGATTTGATGCTGTATTGTTGTAGAGAATTTCCATCATGTGAATTCGGCCAATGGGAACCAGATAGTCACTCCCTGGTGCCCAGCTCTTCAAACTTAGTTATATGGTTTAAGATTGTCAAACTTACTAGGACTTTGAATCGTGATTATATCGAGAAATATTCAGCATACTTTAGGTGCTTTGTGTTTGCATTTGCATAGCATTCTATTATAGTTAGCAGTTGCCGTTGCAGTGGCTTAATTAGGCCCTTCTGAATTGGCACTTGCGCATTTCACGCGAATTTCCACTGCCTGTATAGGTTGGAAACTGGTACGTGTATAAGGCGAGAATTCCACGTTAGTGGCATATTTAGGGTATCAACGATGGGTGAAATTATACATTTTTTTTTCAATTTTTTCTTAGTTAACTAATGAGCTATTCAACTGGGATTCCCTAGTGTTACTCGCAATTTCTTACTGAAGCAAAATCTAGCATTAGCATATTAACCTATCATGAGCTATTTTGGCAATTCCTCGTTAGCATGCAGGGATAACTCTGAGGGTTCTGGTAAAATCTCATGGCAATATGCTGTCTTATTTTACATTTTTAGACATTTTTTGGTAAAAAGCAACCCAACCAACCCAACACCCTTCGGAAATACTCCTCTCTCGAAGCATTAAGAAGTCCTAAAATTCTACTCGAAGCTCCAACTCAAACCGAACCGTATGTCCCTTATTACAGGCTTTAAAGTTTCCTGATATGGCTTTTGATTAGACATTTTAATATTACTCAGTAAGCGTTAATGGTGTATTTAAAAATGTTCATTGTTATAAGGTCCTTTTCAAAATAAAGCATTAATCCATGTGGTCTCACTGGGTGGGTGTGATTTCTCGTTCAAATGCTATTCTCATCGCTAGTTATTGACTGCCAAATGAACGCAGCAAAGGCACCAATTCGGGCTGTATTTTAGTCACGAAATATCTGCGAAAGGCGAACCGTCTTCACTTGATGTGATTCAAGAGCATTCAGATTCAACAAAAACGGACTCTTCAGCTACCTCTGACACAGCCACTTTCGTCACCGCCACCTCAGGTATCCTTGCATATAATTTTGCTTCAACTTTAATAAAGGGAATACAGAATGGACTTCATTGCATGATTGAATTTCCATAGATTTCTTACCTAGCTATCACTGGGATCTGTTCTGCGGTGCCATAACGCAAAAACAATTTTGGCACTTTCCTCTGACATAGTGACTAGGGAGGAAACTCCTCAGGGATAGGTGAACTCTGCGCTTTCATTATTGGTGTGCCACCAATAGGTGGTGGCAGTTGGGTCTGAAGCGGATAAGACAATTTCTATGGAGATATCACGTTTACTTCACAGAAATAGCATACGGGAACACGGGAAACACTTTTCTGTGGATTACTTGATTTCAAGGGATGCCTGCTGCCAAGTGTCTAAGCTTCCCCATTCCATCCAGCATTGTCTTTGGCTTCTGAATAGCATGATAGTGAAACACGCCGAGGGCTTGAGGCCTTCCGTCTTCACAGACTCGTATGACTGTTGGGCAAAGGAAAATTGAGATACAAAGATAGCGATTAAATGCAATGGTTATTGAATAGTTGAATTCTTCGAAGCTTCGTCAATGAACCATGCTCTCATGTGCTTTTCAACAAGGTTAATTTGTAAACAGCAGTGACTCAGAAGAATGGAAGAAAAGTGGTGTGTTTGATGTTTTCGTCATCGAAGTAGGCATAAGGAGGAGTGACATGGGGAGCTGGTGATTTAATAACAGTGCAATTTTACAAACAACACAAAAGTGGTTGAAGTACATTTCAACAACATGTATAGGTACATTTCCCGGCTAGGCATGGTGTAGCGTATTGATTTAGGTCAACTTCATAAAAGTAAAGGCGATTTCGATGGACGAGTTGCTATGCCACTGCAAAGATCTTGACAATAACGTCAAACCTGTGGGCGTTATTTTAAACCAATTATTTGGGTATGATATGCCTATCCAGCCGTGTTAAGTAGAGAATGTTATTTATTTGACTTGCGGCTTGCAAATGCAAAAATCTTCAGGCTAAAGCAGTCCACATACAACAAAAGCGACTACTGTCCTAATACTCACCATTCTAGGCGCAGGCATAGTTAACTTTTTCTTCGGTACACAATTCTATTACGATTTCACATCAAGGGATCGGAATTCAAGGGAAGTTTTGTTCTAGTATTTAATAGAAACCAATATATGGATCTGGTAGGCGCGAAATTTAGATTTATTTGATCACACAAGCCAGTTATCATTTGAGCGAGATATTATATTTACGATATTTAGGTTCGAATTTCGTTTGAGACAAGCCTTATTTTTTTCTGATTTCAACTAATATGAAACAGATATTGCACTTGACTAGGAAACAGGAATTGAGAGATGTTATCTTTAACAGGCCCTAGGTCAGGGCAGATTTACCGCTGTGACTCTCAAGGTACGGTGGATACTACCACAGACTCCGATTCCACAACCCTCAACGACCTGTCAGGAAGGGGCGTCGGGGACCAGCTTTCTGACAGCAGCGGATACGACGTGTTGGCAGTGGGTGCTTCGTGCCTCTACGACGACGAAAAATACACTTCAGGTGCTATTTCTGAACCCGAAATGTTGCCCAGCTTACAACGTCGGCGACGTGTGCGGCGGAAGGTGGGAGGATCGAGGACGAGAAGCCGATCCCGTAGGCGCGACGCCGGAGACAGACACCAGCGTACTGTCGTAGTGGTGAAGCAGCCCAAAATTGATTTGGACAAGATGGTTGTCGTGGCTTTTGACAAGAGTCAGACCTCAGGTGGACTTCAGGAGTCGGTCGCTGTCCAAACGTCACCTTCGGAGGAGGATCAGGATTCCAACGACCTACAAAAACGGCGTACGAATGTGCGTGGGACAGGATTTTGGAGAAAAGGAAAGACCAATTCTGAGGACAAAAGTGTGGATAACAATGAAAAGCCTCAAGGGAAGTGTCAACTAACAGCTTGCAAAATCGTGTTTATGGGGTTTTTTAGTTGTACCAGTTTGCACAAGCAAGTTGCTGGGCAAAATACGTTATTTTGCTCACTGCAAAAATAGGTTTGGAAACAGATGATTCTGTTAGGAAAAGCTAAACTTAAGCTAATTTTTGCTTACAGAGGTCCAACAAAGCAAGCGAAATCATCCATCGGAAAGTGCATTGAAGAAACTTCTTCGGTAGGCTTTGGCGTCTCTAGTGCCATTTGAGGAACTGTAATTTGTAAATCCATTTGTTGTGGTTAGTCATTATGCGCGGTTCGCATATTTTGAATATTTTCAACTCGTAAAGGTGTAGCATATGCTGAATTGTTTTCTTACGCTAAGGAGCGTATTTTTAAATTTTCTCGTGTTGAAGTTGTTGGACGTCCTTGAAGCATGCTAATAAGTGCTTAGCATACAGTAATGCGTCTGAGCTAGCCATTGTACACTTTTGGGTGGATAAACCTAATTAGTATAAGGCATAGTAGTTGAATTATTTACAACTGACATCGTTTTCGCGTTTACTATTAGTACAAGTAGGTTCGAGTTTCGTGAAGCATAGACGAGAACATTTTTAAGACGCGTTGCTACGACCCCGTTACAGTTTCGTGAAGCCCTCGGGTCGATCGCACTCGGAGTACACGCCTCCTGTTGCGCGAATATTTTCTGGTCGTAACCTTGACCGTGGCACGGTGGCTTACACCTCCACACACTATCCGAGCCTACACCTACCCATGAGGAGCCCCTTGACCACTGATCTAGCATGTGCTTCGACTGGTGCTGCTGGACGTCTCATCTGCGATGCTTCACGCCTCCAAATTCATCGTGCACGCCTCGTCGGAGACCGACCTCGAGTCCTCTTCCACCGCACTTGGAACCCCATGGATCCCACCCTTCTGTATGTTTGAGCTCTCTTTTTCCTATTTCCCGTTACATTTTCGTCAATTTTGCAGAGTTGGCGGCGTGACATTTACCTCTCCTTCCAGTTTGCAAGAGATCTGCTTACTTGCCCTTAAACTATGACGCGAGTGAAATCGTTTCATCGACTAAAACCTTTTTAACTGACTGCAGTTATTTTGCGGAAACTTTGTAGATACTGAAGGAGTTGTCTTCTGGTGGATCAACTTTCCTGTAGTACTATAACGCGTGTGGAATGATGGACATGGTGTGTCAGTGGTAGCGATAACAACTGAGAGTCAATATACGCCAACATTGTAGTAGAAGTGACCGATCCGAGCTAGGATGCGATCGAATATCAAAGACACTACTGTCTGAGTTTGCATCGAGCAGACCAACATCATGACCGCTGTCCGTGTATACCCCACAAAATACATTTTAATGCCTTCAACTCATTAAAAAGTTGATATTACGGACGAGACTGTTTCTAATACGTAATGAAGCTTAATGATGGGACACAAAGGTGCAGAAAACGGGGTCTGTACTGTCATTCATTGTGCCTTTAATTGCGTACTCTATTACCATTTCACTGATTGGTATAAAAACATCAATACAAATGTAGTTGAATGCAAATAATGGGAACATGTTTTTTTAGGTATGCCAACAGCACACCCATAAAGACTTTTCAAGCATCTTTCTCACAAACCAAAAATCAGCCACCTCCCATCCTCCTTCCTCTGGATTCAGACCTGAAAGCGACATCGCCTTCCTTGGGAGCTAATGCAACACCAGATGCGGGAAACTACGTCTCTTTGGGGCAACAGCAGAACTACGCTGAACTGGCTTTCTCATCAACGCCGAAGCAGTATCAACAGCAGCGTCAGACTGTGCGTCTAGTTCACGGTAGTGCAGATTCCACACTAGCCCACATTCCTCCGCCAATGGCGACACTGAGTCTGACAAAACTCAAGTCAGTCCTCTCCTCTTGTCCTCCGCAGCAGCCTCTTCCAGATGAGGAGTTGGTTACTCCGGCAATCGCTCTTGATGGCATATCGCACAGTGGCAGTGGCGTTGGAGACTCTAAAAGCACCAATAAATGTACCATCAATCAACTGTATGACATGAGTCTCAGTTGCTGCTCGACGGCCTATGAGTCGATTGTTGATGCAAGTGACTTCTGTCTTCCCATATAGCAATGTGCTTTCGGAGGTGTGTTCGACTTTGAACTCCCCCTAATAATTGTCGTGTTTTAGGTACGAAATGTTAAAACATCCGACATCGGCGAACCAGTGACCTCAAAAAATGATCGGTAAGTTCACCCATCGTAGGGCTTTTATTGGTAACAATATAAGTATGCCTTTGTTACCCAAAGCTTTACGAACATTTCTAAAATTTGTCTGGTGTTTCGATTTGTTCGCTTTCACTTTACGTGTATTGTCTTTACACCCCATGCACCATACTGATGATCATAACACATTTTCCCAAATATTTGTGAATGATGGGGTATTAGCAGATTTTCATTCATGGCGTCGATTGGCTGTCAAGAGGAGTTGAAGTCGCATAAACAGATTACCCACCTACAAGGCGTTTGTTTATGGACAAACGCAAGTAGAACCAAACGAAGTGATCGCTGACGGATATCAAAGAAATGCACCAGTTCACAGGAGACGACTAATTTACTACAAATACAAGTAATTTTAATCTATCTCGGGATCTGAAGTAACTTACTTCATTACATGAATAAACAATTGGCTGAGCTGAGGGACTAGACTAAAGGGAGCATGACAAATTTTGCACTTAGTAGAGCCCTTCATTTAACAGCGTTATTTACGTTTTTTGGGACCCAGGACTCCTGTACTAGACAGAACATACCCCTACGACAAGTCTTTATGCTCACTTTCTGATAACAAATAATATAGAAGCCATAACTATTTGAAATGAATGTCATATTGTAGGAGAGGCCATTTATTCATTTAATTGCTTTGATAGGAAAGTTTACGAAGATGCCGAGGCTCTCTACCGACATCTTTCGCATGTGAGAATTGCTGATGAGACATCGTCAATGACAAATCATTCGATCCTTGAGCCCCCCAATGCTTCCACCAGCTCTGTGCCGCATACGGATGTTAGCTGATTGTCCACCGCTCTCCGCTCGATGTCACATCTGTTTCTATGTGTTGTCTCGACGTAGGCGACCTGTCTCACCAGATTGCACGCGAGTGCACACTTACATGCTCATTCTCCCACCTCCTCATCTTGTGCGTGTATGCGTGTGTTTGTTGTGCATTGAGATATCCTGTATATGTAGTACACACAGAGATTTCGAACGTTCAAAGTAGCGAGAGTACCTCCAAATCATCAACACACCTTCCAGATTATCGGACAAATGAAATCGAAAACACGAGAACCACACAACCAGGAAAATGTGTTTTAGTCTTTCAACTAAGAACCTTGTACAGTCACAACTCACATTCACCTCCCAAACATTTGAATTAAAGGTATGGCATAGTGACAATCCTATCCCTTCACCTTTTTCTGGCCTCTGAAAGACTTCAGTTCTCAATCAACCGCAACATTAACCCAACTAAAGAGCACTTTTAATTTTTTACGATAATTGCAAGTAGATTTGCATCCTGTACACCAAAATAGTTACTGATGTGAAAGAAGGATAAAACATTGAAATAAAACATCAGAAGCGTGTATTTAAGGTATTGACCTGTACGAAACAGCTTGCTTAGGTGTTTGTGTCGTTTGTGGGCATCGGGCCCGGTCGGCTGCCCTCTGTTTTAATAAACATGGCTGAAACGACTACGAAGGCTGAAACAAAGAAGATGTAGAAACTATAGAGGAAGATGACTAGCGTACAAAAGAGCGATACTTGAGTTGGATGTGTCTCGTCAACTTCACCGTCACTGGCGTAATGGAACATCTCAGTGCCACCCACTGACTCCTCTGAACCATGAACCGTTTCCTTGCGGGAGAGAGGGTGACTCGGGAGAGTTTGTGTCATCATTTTGAGCCGTAGTTCAGTGCTGTATTTTCACGTGACCAACACGCTATCAAATCGACGACTTATTCAGCTGGAATCTGACAGTCATGCTGGTTCAAATAATAACTCGAGCAGTTTGCCAGTTCTAACTTTGATTTCACTCAGTCCGAAAGTGAACGTTCTAATCATCTGCATTTATGAATCCCTTCCACTATTAGTAAATGTATTTCTTAAAAGAGACTAGGGTAAAAAGCACGAAAACGCATGGTCAGTAGTCATAGTACATGAAATGGCATGAAGAGGACGAGAAACCGATAGTGAGGCTACTGTGACACTTTCAGTGAAGCGAGTGAATGGCGGTTTCATTGTGCTGGAAGATTGATTTCATGATAATTGCCTAGCTCATGATGTTCCAGACGTTGAGCGTGACACAATCAAAGAATCTTATAAAATTGGCACTGTTTAACGCAATATTTAAAAATCAAGCTTAACAATGCAAACGAGACCAAAACAGTACTAGATGAATGCATAGGTCGCTTCACTATCACTGTATCCTATGCCCAACTGATGAGATTCTGTGGCTTGACATAATTTTGAATTCATTCCGCTACGAAAGTGGAGGCAAACAAAGTAGGCCACATGCAACTATAAAAAATATTTCAATGCAATACTTCTTTGTGAATTTCGGCAGCCTAAGTTAAGTTGCAAATTAACCAAGAGGAAAAGTGCAAATAACACTGTATCGTCCCAAGGCTTCCCATAGGTAGCTGACCCGAAGGTCAGCCCGTGCATACAAGGGCTGGACAAAGTCTTCAAGTGGCCGCCAGACATTAGGTGGTCACATAAAAAGTATTACAAACACAATCCCATTCCAAGCTATCTGGTTGCATGCTACCAATGGCTATTGGCTATCGGAGTTCACTTATTCTTCTCTGACGTCTAACTAAGTCATAAAATGGAGCGGAAGGCACGCGCACGATACACAGAAGAAAACAATGCTACCAGCCAGACTCGGATTTTAACTTATCTAACGAGGGTATTGAGGCGTAGCACTTGCCGGGCCACTTTAAAGAAGCTGAGAACCAAACTTCTAATGTAATGCACTGGAACATATATGGATGGATATAAATATGACAAAGAAAACTATGCAGTAACTGCAAAGTCGACGTCTTCGGAAGTGTGACTAAATCAACAAGCATGAGAAGTTTCGATTTCTAATCAACTTTGCATACACCGAAATTAAGCGAAATTCTTGCGATTAATCATTGTTTTTTAGAGTGCCGGTGTAGCAAATTCCTCCTCCCTTCTCTATCTAAATAAAGTCAATAGAGGTAGTGATACAGCTAAGATATACGAGCTAGTCCTGGGAAGAACCTTGCACATAAGGCACTCAACTATTAATTGGTCTTTGGCCTTGCCGACAGACTTGCCACTGGAACGTTGCAGCAGTGTGGTATATATTTATCCTCTACGCCTGTGATTGGCGGTCTCTTTGGGATATCTGTCCTGATTTGCATGAGTCCAGAGACGATACAGAGATCAATGTAACCGATAGACGTCAAGTTGTTGAACAATCAAAGAATTATGATTACCGCGAGTACAGGCAACCACGGTAAATAGTGGTGCTGAAATTTATGAAAAAATAGGGGCATTGGACCGAATATACAACTTAATTGAGCATGACTGAGTAATTGCTATAGCAGACGGTCTTTGTCTCAAATAAAAGGTTGTCAATTGAGGCATGCTACAATGCCAAAATTATAGTGTCCTATAAATGTTTAAGTCAGTCAATTTTGACTGCCTGACATTAAGAAAATAGACCGCGATATTGGCTTTGGCTCTTGGTCGATGGCATCGGTCGGTCCGGATGGGCATTATTGCCAACGGCTTTTGGATTATTTTCTGATTGTTGGACCACAAAAAAATGCTGGTGATGAGGCTGTTTCTACCAAAACTGTCATTTTAAAACAGTTTCCTCCATCAGAGCATGAAGACTTTCCCTTGCCCCCCGAAACCGTTTATTTTTGTCAACCGGATCCGTTAACTCCTGAGGGTATCCAAGATATGTACTTATCAGTAAGATTCCTCAACTTATGCTCACATTAGGATGCCTCGTCTTTTCTCTTTACACTCACAGATAAGGACAAAAATAGGACGAGGTATGGAGTATGCCTGAATTTCGCGTCTCATTTGAAGTCGGTACGCTAAGTAGCGCCTTTTTACAAATTAAAAAGTATATGCATCAAAGATGTAGCGTCCACCAGAATCTTCATTTTTTTGATTTCGTTTTAAAGGTTGGATCGGAGTCCGCGGTCGCTCTCATTTCCTTTTGCATAATTACCCATCATCCAATGTTTTCGGGCTTTCGTCGCTGCTTGAATACTATCAAAGAAATGATCGACTGTTTGCCTGGGTTCGGAAAGTTAATCTGTGGTCAATCGTGGTGAGCAAAAATTAGATAGTTTTGTCATTTGATTGATGAAATCGCAAGAGTGTTTTTGATATGTTCTTTTAAGGAATCCAGAAAACTTTTGGGACCTATTTTTGTATGGCGAATGGGATGAGCGAAATATTACAAACGCTGAAGCCTTGATAGCGGTTCAATTGGAAAGGTGGATTCTACGACTTTTGAGTACTCCAGCACCCGTTCCTGGCTGCACTTACATTAATGTGAGCAGTTGACCCGACTAGCTTAGAATTATTTGTTATAGTGTTTCATATTTATTATTCATTGATAGGGGTGTTTTGTGATAAATACCTGCAGTTATCTGACATGAACTCCAATATAACAACACTGTTTTGATGGTTTAAACCTCACTAAAATTGCTTTCATTCAGTTGAGAACTTTGCCAACAAATACTACAGAGGTCATTATCATAGAATTATCGTTACGATCAACACTAAGTCTTTCTAAATGCTTCAGCTCAAGTTGCTGCCGGAGGAAGTGGAACATCCTTTGATATTTGCGATGCCAGATAAAAGTCGTTTATCACTTGTGGATTTTTCTTTCTATCTCCCCATGGAACTGCTCAGTATTTCAAACTGTCTTCAAGTTATTCTGGCCATTCTGCTTGAGCAAAAGGTATTATTTTATATATCTCTTCGCGGAATGATAAATTGCGGCCGAAACTTTCATCGGCTCTGGAAAATATTGCTCCGTAAAGACTCATATAAGCACAACGGAATTTCTCATTTAATCAGTTTTTCCTATTCTTCTGCCATGAAATTGCGCTTCGTCTTTTGTAGATTCTCGTTCGGTCGAGGGACTATAACGCTCTTACTATGTGTATCTTAGCACTGACGAAGATGCTTTATCCATTGCAGTATATGTTCCCTGTTATTCCACTCCTTCCAACGTCTCTTCCTAATGCTGAGCAGGTGAGTCATCCAGTCAAAAACAAGTCACAATTTGGATAAAAATTTTTGAGCTCATGCACTGGAATGTTTGCAATTTTTTCGTACCTTCAGATGAGTAGATACGTTTTAAAGCAGCTTTGGGTACAAAAGCAAGTATTATTGAAGAAGGCTTTACTTAGGGAACAAGCACATTGTTAAGCTAATCATCGTTGCGGTGATGACGATTGAATACTGAATAAAGTATGAAGTTTCTATCCAAATGATTTTACCTCTTAGTAGTCATTTCCAAACAGCTTAGCTGATGCTGAATGCTGAATGCTGATTTACCTCTAAAAAGGCTTTATTTCTTAGATCCTCCTATCGCCAACACCCTTTCTTATCGGCATACCTTCGAGTTTCTTGAAGGAAAAGGGTCAGCAGATCCCAATGGCAGAAATCCTGCTAGTCGATCTTGATTCTGGACAGGTTAGCCCTGTCTCTCCTCCTTTAAGTGCCGACACTCATTCGAATTGAATTATACATTAATACTTTGTGTTGGGCGTTGTTGCGAACTAAATCAAGCTCACAAATGTTTATTTTACACTCCACAACCCAAATCACGATTTTTTCATAGGCTTGTTGCACACTCTGAAGACACGAAGTTCTTTACGCTAAGACAACTTTGCTCCTAATTGACGTCTTTTTTGCAGTGCAATTTGTATACAATACCTTATTTTTAGCTAACGTATGGAAGTTCACTCCCACGACTTCCGGACTTTCCAGATCAGGAAAAGAGGGTCTTGTGTAACCAATTGTTGCGTGTAAGTTTGTGTCTCGAGCGCCGTATTTCAAACATTCATGCAATCTTTTCTACCAGTACCACTTTGTGAGCCACCATTTTTTTACAACGGCGATGCTAATTTAAATAATGTGCCGATTGAAATCTCTGCTACTTCCGCGTCTGACCGTTTGCAACACGTATTCATTCCGTCGAAACTGCAGTTTTCTTTGTAGCTCTTAAACTGCTGCCTAGACCTGAGGAAAGGTCGATAAGTTGTTCAGTTCTTTCAGAACATGCACTTTACACAGTCTATTTTGGTCATAATAGGCATTGGAATTGATGAAAAAAGACACAAGCTTGTCGCCCGATGCTATCATTGACATAATTACGCGACCCCAAAGGTCAAGCATTGATGACTCGGAGCTTGGCACCTCAGATTTCGCTTGTGCAACCGACCCACCTGCTCCTGTCGACGTTGATGTAATTGATGTGGCAACACGGGTCGCTATGGTGAGTTCTCTCCGTTATTTTTTAGTCTCGTTGTTTCTATCTGCCGATTTCTGATAAAACGAATCCGTGCTCTTGTAAAGGCTGATCTCAAATGTTCTTGAGTCTGTTAATGTTAATTACTTTTAAATATGTTCATCGATGGTCTTTTAGTGAATTGTAATTTTCAACGAAGTTCTTTTGCATTAGCGTACGTGAATTTACTGCATCTCCAGTGTGAAATCAAACTGATGCATTGAAGTTGCCGGTTTTGCATGACTCACAGCCCTCCGGGTAGAAACGGTTTTCGCCAAGATGCAATCGCCACTAATGGATTAAGTTTACTCAATTCCAAGGAAAAGCAATGAATCCCATGCACAAGAGTTGAGGCAAATTAATTGTTTCAATCACTATTATTACAATTTGCAAGAAACTCTCCACATTCCATGAATGCATGGCGCTGTTCCCTCGAGTGCCAAAGAACAAGGTCCGAAATTCCCAAAATTTTGTATGCTGTAGCACCTCACCTTTTGTTGGTGCGATACTGGTTTACTGGATTGACTGAAAAGTTCCTGTGAAGGAAGAATAGTGTAACCTAATAACCTCGAACCGGTAAAATGTTTCCCCATGGCATTCGCCGAGTTTACTTTGACCTTTCTAACCTTATTCTGTTTCATTCTTTACTAACTCACCATTGAATAGCATTTTATAATGATGTCTACGTGCATCCAGCGAGTTCTCCATGATGATCGCCTGTCTTATTCTTCGCCATACGGATTTCAGATTTTTTCCGCTTCAGGTGCGTTTTTTCAATTCTCCCGGTATTCTCGGTGACTTCACCGAACACACGCGAACCCTGCGCCTCTTTCCACGGCCAGTCGTCACATTTCAATACATCTCCTTCATGCGATCTCGTCCAGCTATGTACCCGTTTACTCAAAAACTTGCGAAGACACAGGTTCGCCAACCTTCAGATGACTAATGTCATCTCAGTTCACAAACTACTTGTATGCTCTTAGTACCAGCTGTCATTTTGCCTATAAGCAAGTTACAGGCTGAATTTGCATTGAGCTGATTTCAGTATTTTAAAGTAAATCTCGCAACGATACTAGAAGAAAAATGCATCCCCTAACGATGATAGTGAGATATTCGTTAGTAGCCCGGTTGGCTTTCGTTTATTATCAAGATTCAAAATGGTTGTGAAAATAATGGACTAAATCGACCCCTTTGTTAACCGACCTTCCTAATCTTTTCTGTCTGTAATGTATTGTTGCACTTTAGGCCGTTGAATATTTATCCGAGTGGTGTCTCTACCCGGAAAATGAAGTTTTTCAACGTATTCATGCAGGAATTTCTGATCCATCGCTTATTGGCGACAAGCCAAAGTGGTTTTGTTCGGAGCTGGTTCCGGTCGACTTTAAAGTTTACGGCGACTCAGACACATGTGTGATTCACTTGGGATGCTGCAAGAATCGAAGTAAGGCACTTTTCCATGCATTGAAGTTATGGCAGTAGTTGTTAGCTGAGGTAAACAGTTGTAGTTCTTTATGCAGCGAGAGTTGTTGGTTGGTCTTCTACTCTATCTCAAAAATACACACACTCCAAAGGAGACATCATGTCATTATTAGATAATAAGCATTTGAAGACCTGAAACGCTTTTACTGTGCATCGGAAAGTTAATTTTGTTTACTTACTACAATGCCCTTATCCGTCTTGAAGGTAGGTCATTGGTTGCGTTGCGCATTTTCTTTGACTATGTCATGCAGAATGATGGGCTTTTGGTCCGAATTAATTAGATCCCTGGGCTGTTGAAAATATCCATCTCGAACCTTGGCTCCGTGAAAAAGTTAACGCCGGATTGTTGCGGCTCCATGGTAGGTAATTCCTGAAATGCATTTCTACAATAGCTTGCTCAGATGTTTGCGATGCTGATTTAGTTGTGGTAACTTTGGTCAGCGTGTAGGCTTGATCGGTTCATATTTTATGCTTAACGTATTTTAGATTGCGCTTCACTCTCCCCTATCATTTCAGTTGCATAAATGAAGAAATGAATTCTCTTCGAGCTTATAATACTCAGATCGGTTGGTTTATCAAGATCAGCAAGCGAACATTTGAAGTAGTTAAGTCAAATTTAGGCATGTATGAGACCCCTTCTCACCTTCTTAGTTAACTTCCCTCAAATGAGCTCTGCTGAAAGTTCCACTACATTGCACTGAGTTTGGCCTTATGGAGGTGACAGTTTGCTTATTTTGAGCACCGCTTGAATATCGTTTCGAATGTGTTTATCTCCTCGAAATTCATCACCTTCAATCTTCAATGATCTGCTTTGTTTCTGTTTTAGATTCACCTGATCAGTTCCAATGCGCTCAGCGCCTCTTAGTGAACTACCGCGAATTCTTTTCTGCCCCGCTTGGGGTAGAGGAAGCAATCATCTTTGCTCGAGCCATTCGTGGCCACGACGTGTCCGAAAGGAAGGGTCATCGTCCATTGTCCTCGCCTCTAGATTACACAACAACTCAGTCGTGTCCGGGGGATATCTGTGATGATGGTTTGTCTTCCAGCCTCACCGAAAGTGATGATGATTCTGATAAGGTTCGATTGACTTTAACCCTGATTTACGTGAATTTTGTCCATTACAAAACCCCTCCACACATAAGATCTGTGCTCAATGTTGGTTACATTCGTATCGTGTCTTGATACACAATGAAAGGTGTTAATGAAATATCACTTATTGTGAGGCAGAGATAAGTCATGCCTTTAGTACAAGCACTACATAGTTCACCATTTTAGCCTTGAGATTACCACGTCTATGAACGTGGTGTCAGGTTGTTGTATGGAGTGAGACTTTCCAACGCCATAATTCTCAGACCCAAGTTTGGGCGAGTCAACGTCACCAAAGTAAGCGGAGCAGCATTTCAGAAATAGCGGTTGTTGGCCTCTATCGCAGTGCCTTTTACGTTTACTAAGCTGTCTCTCATGGTATTAAATCATTGTTTTTTAAAGGATGATTCTGATATCTGGGACTTGAAGCGGTCATTATCAACGAACTCAGTCGAGGTAACCGACGTACAGTCAACTGTACGTTATCTACTGCTCAATGCCTAGTTTGTGTCTTATGAAGTTTATTTTCAACTTTCCCGATTTCGAAAGGCGTAAAAGTGTTGAAAATTGTGCCCCTATTTAACATTTCATCTCCTATATTCACGGTAAAATATTAACCAAATATTAATGCACTTTTTCTAGGATCAAATGGGGAACGCGTACGTTTTATAATAAGTTAATCGCGGTGCTTGACATGTCGCCACTAATATCATCTCTGTTAGCATTTCTATTGGAAGTAAGACGACACCTGAAGTATCTGCAGTCAATGGAAACGCTATTCGTTCTGAAGAGGTCAAATCAGATAAGCTCTTGGAAAAAGGATCCTTTCCATGGCGTTCTAAAATTAATGGTGAGCTGTTTAAGTGTGTTTGGTTCCTGATTCATCCTGTCTTAGTCGCATATCTTTTTGAAACAAAAAGAAACTTTTCTAAGTCAGAAGATTGATGAAATTAGTTTGGATTAGGTGTAAATGTTGAAGTTTGTTGCCTTACCTAGGCGCAATTTTTCCCGCCTCTTACAAATTGGTTCGTTTTAAACAAATCCATAGATGGGACAGGAAGAAAGGCGAATTATGAAAAGGAGGAAGATTATGCTGGTGAATTGGACCTGGGAGTCCACATACTGACAAACCTTTCGGACGCCTTCTCGGGAGCTAACAACCTTTTCTCCAAAATTCTCGGTAAATTAAGTCACCTTTCTGTGCCAATGCTTACGAATATTTAGCTATTGGGTAAGCAAAGGATTTTATAGGTTGTTTGATTGATCAGACAACATCTTTTACAGCGTCAATTTACTATCCCACTTCCCGCCTGTCAGAAACACTAGTTGCAACTTGGAAAGTCGTTTTGGCTCTGTTCTTTACGCTCGTGAATTTCTCTCATCCGATTTGGTGAAAGGCCTCTCTTGTACCTTTTTTTTGGATTTTCTAATGCAGCTCAGCCACAAACTATAATACAGAAATCGAGGGATTTCATCCAATCACCGAAGCTACCAAGGCGAAAAGATTCAGCATCAGCAACGGCTGCAGGAAGAGAAGTCAAGAAGAAAAGCAAGGAAACTAAGTTGCTACTAAACCGGGATGGAGGGCGACAGATAGCTCTCAGCAAACTCACATGGACGTCATTTGACGAGAAGAGGCGAGTGAAGCATTAACACAGTTGGTTTGTTTTTTTGATATTATCGGAAGGGAAGATATAGGAATGAATTTACAGATAATGCTCTATATATATGATTTTTTTACTTTTAGTACAACCTTGAACTACTCTTTCTTATTTATATGGATGGTATTCGCTTTTGTACTGCTGACAGGTTATTTATGATGACAGCTTGAAATGTCCTGAACTTTTTAAACCAGACTAATGAAATTTAGTGTAACTCGATTGAGTGTGATTTTGCAGCTCAGAGAAACAGGATTTGCTGAAACAGTTGACGCAGGCGATATGGTCGGGTGATAAGGTGGGTCTTCGCACGAAGCACGAGGTGCAGGGTCTCATGGAGGATGAGCGCTATCGAACCTACGTCCTTGTGAAGCTGCTTGCTGAATCTCATGAATTTCACTACAAACCCGGATCGCATGTGCCTGACGTGGTGGGTTTATGTCAGTATACACTCTCATTTCAACATTCATTTCCTACAGTAGTTGCACCATCCAATGGGCCGCTGATCCTCTCAGTTCCGCTCTTATAACACCATTCCTCAAGCATACTATTCAACTAAACTTGTGTGCCGATAATCAGTATTTCTAACGGCTGAGGAAAATGATAAAAGCAACGGCCTCACGTTAGTCAATCATCACATTTGTCTACTGTTTTTACCGTTTATTTTCTTTTGGGCTGAGGGAGAGAATAGTGGCTTGATTTTAACCTTACAGCAATGACAACTACTGATGTTACCATTTCTTCTCCACCTAGAGTAGCCGCATTTATTTTTGATTTGACATGCTTCTTTTGGAATATAGCCAGATATATCCCTCTTCATCTGATTCCAATGATGCTTGCAAATTCATGCCTGGCATTGCTGCTAACTCTTCAAGATTCTTAGTTTTCTTTGCTTGCGCTTCAACTTAAAAGGCAAAGGCTGGATTGTGGTTGTGTCTAGCATTATTTTATCAAGGCGCCTTTAATGCACTCATCACCAAATTGTTTCCGCGTTTTGAACCTTAAGTGAAGGAAGTTATTGTGGTTGACTTACAGCACTTTTTCCCCTTAATCCAACCCTTCGTAATATTATGTTTGCAACATTACACGATATGCCTGGCCCTTACTACAGGGTTGACCACCTTCAAGTGTCATGCCTATTGGATGCCTAACGCAGAGGGTTCGTGGGGTCAATGCGTTATCTCCAGTCTATGTATCCAGTTCGCTTTGCTTTGGCGTCTGTGGTCTGTCAGCTTGACTAAGTACTTTTTAAGTACTGAAAATAATGCGTTCCAAAACTTCGTTTTCACGGACCCAAACCACTTTGCAAACCTTATTTTTAATTTCATGTAGAGTTCAAAATATGCTTAGCACATGGTGTTTACAGTGTAAATCCGACCTTAATTACATTGTTTAGATACTAACCTAGCTCCCTTCAAGGTCTACCGCTCTCGTACTCTGATGACTTTTACGACTTTAAGGCACGTGTCCAAATGCCTTCTACTTCCTTTTTACAGGCCCTTCATGATATCCCGATGTTCCGCCACTTGGTGTGGCTCACAAAGGCCGTGATTTGCGGTTACGAACGCAACTGGTTAAACTGTGGCATCCATGGCATGGGGAGTGCATTCCTCCTCCTCGAACTAGCGCATACACACTTCTGGGACCAATCTGTCGCCCTCGAGCGCGAACTCAAGGCCTCCAAACAGAGGGTCAGTCTGACTCTACTTCTCGATTTCATCGTTCAGAAATTGACATTTTTTTACAAATCATCTGCTAATAACGACATATTGTCCCAAATTCTTGCTTCTTAGATCGTACTCAACCTAAATAATTTTTTTTGCCTGACCAGCCGGCGTCTGCTCAAGGAAGTAAAGAAGACCTATTCCCCGCGAAACTGAAAAAGAACCCACTCGAGAGCCTATGTAAGTCAACGTTTACAGTGGCCTTTGGGCAGCAACGCTAGATCAGATATTCACTGGCGTTATCTCAGCGATCGTTGCTATTATTATTTGTCCACATTCGACTCTTACAGGATGTGCAGTTGTAAATGGCAACTTTTGCCCCCCGAAGCTTCACTTTCATGTCCCATAGGTTAATTACTTCCGTCAGTCTTCAGTGCTAGATGTTGTCCGACTAGGATCGTTAAATCCTCTCTCTAATTGTTGCACTCACTTTGAAGCATTGGATTCGTTTGGATATCCAATCACTCACGAGGCGGTCCATACGGGAAGTTTTGGGAGTGGTAAAAATTATTGAGGCGATGTTGTCAGCTAGCTCCGAAAAGAGGTATAGAGTTATCTACTCCTCCAATGAATTCACGTAGATCATTTACCTATTATTCCACAATAATTATCTTAGAAACACGACTTGTATACTTTGTTAAGCTATTCGACGCTAAAAGTCCAACATATCATCGGTTTCTCACAGATTCGTACGTGTGACGCTCCCATTCACCTCTTGCGCGGACACCAGTGGAGCCATGGTGCGGACATGATACAACGAGTTTATTGACATTCATTCCCAATGCACATTTATTTCTCTGTGATCTCAGTAATGGAAGTTTTCAGCTTTTGCATCAAGAGCTACAATTGAAGCACCTCTTAATAATCACGAGCATTTGAATTTGCTGTGAACTTTGCTTGCGTATTACCTGTTTAAGGGTCTGTGTAGACTTGTAGTTATGGCCAACTCCAGTCCGAGAGAGGAGACGTTTCATAGTAAATTACTGTGGGATAATTTAGCATTGCTCGTTACTTTCTTCTCAAACCTACGATTTCAGCCTCGTTTTCACCTGTCTTGTGGTTTTAGCGTCTTTGATTAAGACAACAGCAGCTGAGTTGCGTCGTAGCAGTCTGATCGGGGTTTCAATCACCGAGAGTTCTCAAGTCTCACTCTCACGGCGCAGTTCCAGAGATCGACAATCTGAAGGTCACCCTTATTTTGTTCACCGCGTCCATTTAATGTTTGCATGCACATTCTCAAATAAATGTTGTCCATTTTTTGTTGTTATACGGCTAAACTATTACTGAACGTTCGGCAAGTAGTATAAGACCTCACATCGTTGATAGAAGGGTACTGTAAAAAACCAACTTATTATAAGTTTTAGTGAAACTCGTGATGTAAAATAGTAGAGGCATCAACGATTGTAAATCTGATACCCCGAGTATCAAACCTGTTTAGCATCGCAGTCACTAAAATAGGGTGTAACTGCATACCTAAAATTCAAAGAAGCATTAATGTGCTGTCTCGGTGAGTGGTATATACGACAGTTTAAGTGAAAGTTGGATGGATGTGCTCCATTGCTTCGCCTTCAAAAATGTTACGATTAAGTGACTCTCAGATGTTATCAAACAAAAGACATCGGGTCTCGAGGTGGCAGCTTTGGTAGCTTCTGTGTGTCTTCAAAAATGGTCTAGCAAAGTAGGTGTTAGCTAGGCTAGGATGCTTGCAGGCTTGTCGGAGAATGCCGTGAACAAACATTAAAATAAATGTCGATGTCAAAACTCTCAAAGCTAACGACGTCATTGATTCATTTTAGCCTCAAGAATAATATAATCTGCAATAAATTCGGTTTTGTAGAAAATATTTTGAAAACCTGTTAACCGGGTGAAATGAGTGTGGTAGTTTAGCTACTAAGCCTCATGTTGGCTTATTTTTTAGTGGCAACTAACCATTTTCGAGCTAAAGTTGTGGGTCACTGCCCTGTAAAAGGTAAAAGCCTTGATTGTGTGTTAAGTTAATGGAAGACATTTTGGATGTTAAAGTAATTTGCACAATTATAAGACTTGCTAGATTCCACTTGTGCTGCAGTTTTCGTTTTGTGGTGCAACTACAACAGTGTTAGCCCACACCTTGATGAAGATGTCGAAATTTGAAAATTTCACTTAAAAGCCTCGGGTTATTGATGCTTAGACATTATATATGACTTACGATTTTTTGATTAGACGATCAGTCATCTTTACCCGACTTTACGTGGGTCGATCTAGGAAACCTGATTAGGGAAGGGGAAGCGACCAAATTATAATCTTGCTTCCTACCTTGTATGAGTATTTTTTAAATTCAAGAACAAGCATGCACCCAGATTCACAGCCTAGCGGAAGCATCCACTCCTGTGAGTTTTTTTAGGCACCAGCACAAGTGCATCAGGCTCGCCAACCACTTCGCCGATGTGGTCGAGAGCCAGAGCACCTGGTTCCAGCAACCGTACTTCGAATTCAAATGCACTGTTTGGGAGGGAAGGTAAATTTAGAGGTGTAGTTCCTTTCTGTCTTGCTGACCTCCATTCAAACCACGGATTCTTTTGTGTGCATTATTGCATTTTGTGCGCCTATTGTGCTTCAATTGTATAACCCTAGAATCTGACTATAAGGTATGGAATCCAGCGAAACAACTGCAAGTATGTTAATTTTTCCTTTCAATTCCTATTTATAGGAAATCGGAGTTAAATATTTAGTGCTCGTGATTATTCGTGCAATTATAAGACTAAAGCGGGTGCAAGTTTACGAAAGGTAGTAGTGATTTACCTTGGGAAAGGATGCTTACAACATTTAGTAACTGTCAAGCTTTGCTCCTCGTCACTTTGCCACACCCTCTTAGGAGGACTGCTGTAGCCATAGGGGATATGATGCTTGCATTATGCTTTGGATCCATTTGTACGTGGCGGTGATGAATAAATAAGGGAAATATTTCCCCTTATTAAATTTATGGAGACTTTCTTTTGTACTTGTGTTAAAGTAATTATTCCACCAATCATCTTTTCTGTGCCCGTTTTGAGGGAGGTTTAGCATCCACTGTGTTTGTCCCAAATTGGACATCGGGTTTTGATTAGGCAGTGAGTTGTCCTTTTTCTACCGGACGCTAAGTGAGATGCTTGACCATGCAACACGTTGGGTAGCCCTTTTATGAAATCAACAGGTGCGCAACGTGTCCCCACAGCGATCCACAAACCTGACCGTGTTAACATTGCAATCTAGTTATAGTTGATAACGCCACGGAATTCAAATGTAGAAGCTCTGGAGTGAATAGGTACACTCAAGCTCAACTACTCCGTTGTACGATCAGTCAAGCTGACCTACAAAGCCGTCATCAGCCGAGGTACTATGTATTTGAGGCCCTCATCGGGGCTAAGGAGCGCTCGCGCATCTGGGACCAGGCGCAGTTTTGGGAAGATGCGTTCCTTGATGCTGCGGCTCGTGAACGCGACCTTCTTGGTGAGCAGTCAAAGTTAACATTAAATAAACTGGTCAGCAGTCATAAATGGATAGCAAAAATGATTGCATTTCCTGTTTGACTGTTTGTTTCATTCAACTTAAAAGGATGCCTTAACACTACCAAAGAAACTACCTTGTAAAAAGACTGACTATCTCTTCCTTATGTTTTTTTGGAAAAAAGGCCTTGATCATTCTCCAACGGCTATGCTTGAACGCTACGCAAAATTATCGGTACCCGAAAAGAAGTTGTGGGATCTGAAAGAGGACCGCATTTTAGCAACCCTTTTGCATAACCTCATCGCCTTTATGGTGATGCTGAAAACGGCCAAGCAAGAAATATACAACGTCGGCTATCGACTGCTTGGACGCTGTCGCCTTGGGTCGCACTTCTCCCACTCAATCTCCAACCTGCTTGAGTCCATTGCTGAATTGGTAAGCGAAACCGGGATCTTGCAACGATATCGCATTTTTACTTAAATGCTTGGAAAAGATCTCGAATTTAAAAGGCTGGAAGATATGAGCATGGGTTTTGGACTGTGATTCGCTTCTTTCAGAGCGGTAATGCTGTTGACCTCATACCGTCGATGAGCACTAGCATCTACCACCACGCTTTCATTGTGACCATTGATGCAAAGAATTCAGCACCTGGAACCGCGTCTATTCTGGAAGTAAGTTCAGGTCTTTACCAGCCCTACTAAAAGCATCACTTTTAAATGGTATGGTGTCACTTTTACCCAATGTGACTTAAACATTTTGTATCGGAATAGATTTACGACTGTTCTTACCTTCTAAGAGGACTCGGCGGTGAGACTGAGAACATCAGAAGTCTGTCAAATGTCCTAGCCGTTATCACCTTTTCAAAAGGAAGAACATGCGTATTACTTGAAGTTATTGAAGACAGGGTAACAACTACTCAAATGCGCTGCAGAAAGGTTAATTTTTTATAACGGTTTAATTTATTGTGGTGTATTTGCTGTCTTCCAACCACCTGTTTACCTTCGAAACCTACTTTAAAATGAAGGTAAAAAGAGTGGAAACGACCTGTGTAGGTGCTGTTGCGGTTCAATGTAGGCACATACGCAGTAATAAGGAAATTTTCGGAAAGAAAATTTATTTCTTCTTTTCTTAATGCAAATCTATCTGGCAGTTATTCTTTTAGAGTGTAAATGCATGCGACATTGCTGACACTGAAGGTTGAAATATGCTAGCGCGAGTGAGGTGAAGCGTTTCCTCCCTTACTCCTCTGCATGAGGGCAATACTCTACTATCGAAAAACCACAGTTTGAACACTAAAGATTAGCATGTCGTTTCACAGATGCCGCTGGGTTGTGCCAACGAAAAATGATGGACGTTTATAAATGCATCTACCTTCTCCACTTGAAGCTTCGTAGTGGTCCGCGAGTGCAGTCTAAGTGCCTCCACAAACAGAAATGTCAGCGCTTAGGTTAATAACTCCAACAGCACTCACGTTGCGTGAGCGGCAAATTTATTTGCCCTGTAGACAGCCTCATAGACTATGGCGAAGAGCAAGAAATTTAATTGAGGTTCAATAATGTAAAAGCGCGCTGCTATTCCATCTCACAGCCGCCACCTTTCCTTATCTATTTTACTTGTTATCAGCCATTATCGACCACGAGTGAACGTATTTACATATTTTCGTGAGCTGGCGTACTTTTGAAAAAGTGGGACCTCCTTTTAATTGCCATGCAAGACTTAATGTCGCTCATTGCAGTTCGTCTAGTTCCAGGGTAAACCGAACCACATTTAGCGCTATACTTGGCATCACTTCACCGTCCCCTTCCATTGGCATTGTTGTAGGCGAAGGCTTTAAGCTGCGCCATTCAAAAGGCCATGGCGAGGATGTCCTTCAGAGCACAGCCAATAGAAAATCGTAAGATTTCTTTTCTAACCACATGAAGCATTATCAAGCGACCAAAGCACACTTTCATGTTTGGTAAATTCCCCATAAACTTTCGATGTGTAAACGCCACCTGTCCAAAACAAAAAAGTATTTTTTTCATTTTTTGCCAAAATTGATCCATTTTTAGCAGTCAGTTGATCCAGTTTAAGCATTCATGCTAAAATTACCAGCTTAATCCGATCAAATTTAAGCAAAAAGGAAGTGCATGTTCTATGGGTGTCGATTATGGCACTGTCTTGCGTCAATGGCTTTTCAAACAATTTTCCGAAAATGCATTATTAAAAATGGTTATTCGGTGTGCTAACGGTTGTTTTCCCAATCAAGCCGTCCAGTTTTGCATGAAAATGGCCACGAATCCAGATGGAATACAGAAGAATTTTGGCTCACTTGGCGTCGCCGAAGGGGTGGCATTTTCAAGATCTACGATAGCTGATGGCAAGTGGTTCTCAAGGAGTCTATGGTTAACACTGATATATTCTTTCACGATCATAAGTTAGCTAAACGAACCTACTTAAATAGAAGTTAGTAAGCAAGCCTTGACGAGTCCATTATACAAGGTGGTGCATGAACGTTTTCTTGATGTCGCCATTTCACATCATTAAGTGAGTCTCGATTTCAACCAGTCCGTTGGTTTCAACTCAGGTTTCAGAATTTTAGTATGATTAGATAAATGCAAATAGAGCGAGAGATCAAAGCGGGTGGAAAAGCCAATCAGTCACATAAGTTGGTTCTGGATGAATGAACTGAAAAGAAATATCGTTGCAAATATAATTTTCTGGCAATGCTGAGAGCTCTCAAAGGATTTATCTGTGCTATGGAAGTTAAGGTCCCAAAGCATGTTGCGTTGGTTTTGATCTCAGTGAGGCAGGCTGCTCGTATTTTACTGCTTTCATGAAAGTTTTACTCTGCCACTTGACATCACAATCAGCATGGTTTCCTTCAATCTCCGAATTTTTGTTCAAGCACGCTTCAAACGCTCAAACCTCGAAAGATCTCATGCAAAATAAAATGAGGTGAAATCCAATTTTATGTTAATTTTATTTGATTGATTTCAACTTCATCTACCCTTTGTTTATCAACCAACGCTTGGCGTTTATTCAATTTTTCAGGATGAATGGCGAACACAGTTGACGGATAAAACGAATCAGAAGGTTTCCCCAACTTCGCTCCATGAGTTATTGCTACACTCCTCCCGCATTACTTCATCGTCTCTTTGCTATTTATTCGAACACCTTTCCATTTATTCCAATTGGCGCATATTAACTTAGGTATCCGTTTCGGTCTCCGTGATACTTTCGAATACTTCCCCCAAAATGACAAAGCGCAATCGAGTCGGTTAGCATTCGGATATTCAACGTTTCGCTGTCACGTCTTGTGAATCGAATGGCGAGGAAATGATGCAGAAGGAAACTCCGTAAAGTTCAATAGCACAATGCTATACCGTACACTTTACATTAACACTGAGCCAAAGGCCATTGGGTAGTGCGTTAAGAATTTGCTATTGGGCTAGACCACAAATATTGTCGTTTGCGTTAGTCAAGCATAAAGTTGTGAGTATACTGGCCTGGTGAAATTCTGTTGTCCAAAAATTTTGAATAATTAGGATAAGAGATTGGCATAACAGCACAGATCCAAGGATTCGGCCTTATTCGGCCAACCAACAATGATCTAGCTAATGTCAGTAGAAACATTTATTAATTTTGCTCATTACAAGTGAATGTGTCTGTTGAATTCGCAATGATCGATGCGAACTTTAACAGTGGCTTGTGTGTCAATGAGTAGAAAGACACAAGGAATGAAGCCAAGTTGTACCGTCTGGTCTCATACCCTCCTTTGACTGTGTCAGTAATCAAATCTGATAAATGGCATCCAAGTCGACCGTTGATTTGTCACCTTAAGCCTTCAATGCTTCGTCTGGCTTACAATGAAATAATTCGTCTTTTCTGATGGTTACCCGCAGTTGTAAATAGTGCCCTCAGTGGTATGTAAAGTTGATAGCGTGAAGCATTTTGCCGAAATTGACATTTTTGTAAGGTAAATTTGTACAGATCCTCACATTATTTACCTTTTATTCAGTGAAAAAAGGAAGTGAAAGGTAATATTCTTGTGCTCCAATTTCCCCACCGTTGCTCAGACTGCGCAGCAAGAAGGCGGATAAATCGTAATCCTCCATTCGTGGATGCATTAACACGTGAGAAGTTGGCGGATACAGTTTCATGAATGATTGACAAGGCAGTGCGAAACGCGAAAGTTGCAATTGGCAGAATGACCCACGAACTTACAAACATCGGAAGTGTGTTTTACCTTGTTTCTTGTCTATCTGTAAGCTTCTCAACCACAAACTTCAACCTATCAAATAATTGCAAGATTACGCTAACCCATTGATGCTCATCTAGAATGTCAGTTCCCAACGCTAAGGACATCTTGACCAATTGGCACTACAATTGCGTGTTGAGAAAACTGTGTGCTCCTGAGAAGAGCCCTTAAAGAAGACGATCAGAGGAGTTCACTCTTTGGGATGCTTAATTGTAACTTCTAAAAATTGCTAAAAACGACCTTAGAAGCATTGCTAACGTTAAAATAACAAATAGAATAATGCATTCAGTCCTTCCATGATAGTTGCCTTAGGGTAGCGCAGGTGATGCAACAATTCCGCATGAGTCAGGTAGTTCAGAGAGAGTTCGTTAATTCAATGAAAGGCCATTTCCCAGAGTTGTCAACATTAAGCTGCAGGCATCCCAATGTGTTAATAGTTAAATCTTACAAGCACGGGCACGCTACCCAGACTTTCTTTCTCAAATCGCCATTGGAGATTATCACCGACGTAATTAAGTTATAACGGCACAAGCGCTTCTGTGAACGGCACTGTGCTGAGACCCTCCTTAAACCCTCATCACTTTTGCCGTTTGGTTCTGCCCTAGCAAAGTTGCTGCTGCATTGAAGGAATTCGATGCAGGACACCGACTTCCTGGAATGAAGTTTTTCGCCCAATTGCTCAGTGGCCTGGATGTGCAGTTGTTTAGTTAATTTTTTTTCCTGTTGCTAATCTCCGATTTATCAATAATGCCTGTTTTTTTGCAAACAGATCTATGAGCCCAAAACCTATCCTCTCCTTGTTTTTACCACCAATATTTGCCCATTTAGACCCAAACAAATTGCATAGAGGCGAGAGTTCAAAATGGCGTGGTCTGTTAGAAAGAGAATCAAATCTTTGGAACTAAATTATGAGTGGGCTTAAGTGTAACCATACCACTAAACACAACCTTTTCGTGCTCTGACAATAAATGCTGCATGGGACTATACTTAAGAGAGTTAGTCTTCGACGTTACTACGATTAGCTTCGAGTCAACAGGGCACTTACCTCAAAAATGGCAGAAGCTATGAGAAGTGCGAATGCTCTTGAACCTGGAGCGGTAGTGCCGGCCGATTGATGGTGATAGTAATGCAGTTTGACAAAACCACATCGGTATGTGTCACTACGGCAAAGTTTGGTTCTTTTAGGCCAATCAGAACTAGACCACCACGTTCATAGCTCAGACGGTCTTATAGATGGGACCAACGGTTTGACACTCTTTGACAGTACCAAAATCTAACTTATCATTGCTAAAGCACTGTATGGTCTGTCTAATTAAGAAGTGACACAAGTTCCAGAGCACGCCAAAAATCTACATTGCAATTGTACAGACATTTCACATCTGAGAGTTGTCATCAAAAAATGCGAACTTTCCTTATGCCTATCCACTTTTCATTGCCAAGGTATAAGTGTAATTTCGCTTAGGAGGCTTGAAGTGGAGACGATGCTGACAGTTAAACCGTGTTGAATTTAATGTAGTAAAAGGAAGCGTTGACACATGAAGCAGTTTGACAGTGAAGACTAGAGAAATGAGGCTTACTTGGATTTCTATCCTGGTCAAGGAGAACACTTTTGATTTTGACTAAAATTTTAATCAACTTTCCATCAATTAATAGTGCAAACTCTTTAATATGGGGTGTTTGTGAGCTTCCTCCGCTTTCTCACTTTACTGAAGCTTCTTAGCTGTTTCACTTTGGCTCCATCGAACACTACCCACACTGAAGACATTTAAATTCAAACTGCTTATCAGAACGAGTATTAGATTAGTGAATAGCATTGGAAGAAATGGTATTGAACTCTGGCGCACAAGGCTGGGTTAAGGATGAATTTAAAGGACCTCTCGGTAGTAATTGGGGCTGTTCTTTTTCCGAAGCAGCCTCGATGGTCAAGTAGTTGATTACACATAATTGGTTCTGATGTTCTATACTCCGACGGGAAAATGTGTGGGAAACTGAGTAATCATGGTGAAGCAATGGAATCCACTAAAACCTGGTGGAAGCAAGCTCTCGAAACTATAAACTAATGTAGCAAAGCAGATCTAAAATAAGTATCGGGTCGTAACCCATTAGGAGCGGTCACTGCGTTGAACTGCTTTGCTGTCGATACGGAAAACAGACGTGAAGGTATGTAAAGGCGATGCCTTAACTCGGGGTGCACTAAAGGCCAGTTTTGGAATGCCAAAACTGTTAGCAAAGGATTTCTCACAAGTCGTACCTTGAAGTCCCTTTGCATAAGGTTGTGTCAACAAATTATGCAGTCCATGTCAGCAGCAGCAGCAGCAGCAGCACCCGTTTTACATTTCTAAAGTATTAAGCACTTAGAGGATTGTAGAGGTAGGAGAAAACTTTTAAACCATAGCGAAAATAATAGTCTCTACGCAGTGCATATGGCAGTTGTGCTCATTCAGAAGGTGAAGGATTCGCAACTACGTTGAGGAATGGAGAATTAGTTTTAGTGACTTGCCTTTGTTTTACAATTCGGAGGCCCGTTATTGTACAAAATTGGTCGATTGATTCGCACATCTTGATTCAATGAGCGAAATTGCGATAATTAAAACTGTCTTACTTAAAAATGTAAGAAATTTTTATTTAATAGATAACTTCGACAAACTATCGGTATTTACAAGTCGAAGGCAAAAGTTTCTCCTTTCCTATTCATAACACTATCGTCCACTCTAATAAATTCTTCTGCAAAAAGCAATATTTTTCCAGCAACCCCAAGTCTTGCTGCAATTCAAAAATAGACGCTTTTTCGGAGTCTACTTTCTTTTTGGGTTTTCTCGATTTTGATTCCACTGACAAGCTAAGGTCACCAGTTCCAACAGCACGTGACTGTGAACAGCTCAAGATACGCCTGCACCACGGTTTTGTGTGCACATTAAATATTTTTTTTCGAAATAACCTTAAAAGTGCTTGTGATGTGATGGACTACGCTTACGGTATTCCTTGTGGAGACGTGAAATGGGACTGGACACTCTTGCTTAACTCGAACAATGCTTGCCAATTCGGCCCACTAGGAGAGAGATGGAGGAGGTTGGGAGCGTTAAATGGGTGACTTGGACGATGCAGCTGCTAGGATCAGCGACAAGATTTACAAAATGATAATGCTCAATATTTAAATGAGGTGAGATGTTTTATTGTGCAAGTGCATACTCGTCTCTGTACCAACACCATCTGGTCTCACTAAACAACCGAGTTTCATTTTCTACCTCACGAAGCTAATCCGCATATCTTATGGGCTTGCTAGAATTAAATGGATGTTTAAAATATTCCTTGAAGAATTTTTTCAGATTAAACATAAGCCATTGAACAGAAGGCATGGGCTAGTGCGCAATTCTGGTTGCCTATCGGAGGCACAAACTTGGCATTTAACAGATCTTGGCGCTCCACTTAATCTCAATAAGCATTATTCAGCAAGTAAGAGTTTTTAGGAGAATTTTTGCTGTGTATCTTGCAGCCCAGTCACTTTTAAATGCACAGCAAGACGCAACGGTCTGGATTGATACACAAGTGAAATGAACGGGACGTCATTTAAGTAATGAGGAAAATTGTTGTCCTTTAGCCGATGTTACGTTGCGGTGAGCTCTTTAATCCTTAGGTATGGATAACGGGTTTTGCTGTGTTCCCACCACCTAAGTTGCATGTGGACAATTAAATTTAGCCTTCAGTCTATTCATACGACCTTGTCAGAGTGGCACAGATGGTGCTGCCATAACATCTTAAATACAATGCCGCCTACATCATTGCAAAATCCCATTACCAGATTCTGTTTTGGGAGTCCACTTTGCTGGCTTGCTCAAAAAAGGCGCGAATATAGGAGCGAACTTAAAGGTTACGTCAGAAGTATCACATTCAGACCGCGGTTAAACTACACTTTTGTTCTAGCAAAGGCAGCTGATGCAACATGGAATGAAGGCAAAATTTAACTTCACACAATGCAGTTCCAGTTTTGGTCAGTCTATGCCGTAGTCGTAGGCTTTCTGTCCTCCCTCCGTGGGATCATACCCCAGAGCGTCCCCCAGGGAAAAATTTTCGGTATTGCCTTCGTTTCCACTATCGGGCACCCGCTCTTTTCCTCCGGTCAAGGGCTTCATTGCGAGATAAAGTTGCAATAAAAGAGAAGAGTACCATGCATTTAGCGATTGGTGTGTTTGTGAGCGCTGAATGCAAACAAACCCACAGAATCCATTCAAAGTCTCCTAATTCTTTGATCCGTAATTCAAATTAGCTAGCATCGTCTTGCTGCATTAAAGTGATTTTTATGTTCCTTAAATTGCTTAGTAAAGTATGTTTGAAACTCGGAAATTCCATGCATAAATGGAAGATGGATTCAGCGAACCTGAAGTTCCCCACCACTTGGTGGGTTGCGAAGGAAAATCAGGAGTGGGCTGTAGAGAGCTGAGACGATCGCGATGCCCCATATCGTCCTAGGGTTCGACGAAGCAGGTTTATTTGACTATTTTTTGCAAAGCACCACTTTAAACATGATGATGCCAAACATACCAACTGAATCCAGCAGACTGAGCCACACATCCACCGATAGCGGGGCCTAAAACAGGCTTCTATCATTTACAACTTGATACTTCAACCATGTTTGACTTCTGTTAGTTATCCATTGTTGGGGCAATAAAAATGCCTCTTTAAGTTGTCGTTCGGTAGTGCCACCAAACTCGTCTGAAATCCTGCACAGTAAAAGCTCTACAGAACAATCGGTTTACTGGTTTTGCTGTTTTGCAATGCTCTAAGCGACTGGCTTGTTAACTGAAAGAGTCTTACCAATATTACATTACTAGTAGAGTCGAGAGTTTTAAGTCTAATGGATCGTCCCCTGCAGTAGTGTGGAACCTGCACCGGAGTTCTGCTTACACACATCAAAACTCAACTCAATTCAATCCTCTTGTAAACCATCAGATCAAGAGAGTCTTCTGTCTATCAGTGCTCCATGTAAAAAAAGGAGGTTTACCAAAAGCAAAGCCGAGGCAGAAGGCAACATCTGCAATGGCATAGACACTTCCGTAGACGGCAACATGCCTGAGGTCCACCAGAATCCCCATTTGCGGCATCATCGAGGCATCCACCATCCCTTAAATAAAAAAGGTTAAAGCTATCATTACGTGTTTCGAAATTTTAACTGCCTTTCATCTATGCGTACTTTTAGTGTGCTGCTTGTGTCATGCAAGTCCATGAATCTAGTCATGAGAGTTCGCTGCTTAACTTAGACGTTTTCAGAGGCTTCAATTAAATGCGACAAACATGCTTACCCATTGACAGACCAAGTCCGAAAGTCGGAACTATAAGGTGGCCCAATCGTCTGCTGAAGGGAATCTACATTTCCGTGTCAAAATGCAAAAGCCAATTGAAAACTCATTTAACAATGCATTGGAAATAGTGCCCATTGCGAAAAATGAATGCTCTGGTGAATACTTTCAGTGAGAATAGGAAATTGACAAAACATTCTCAAGACGTACACAGAGAAGGCAAATGCTGCAAAGAATCATTCCTATAAACGCGCTTAGCCAGTGTCCAATTCGATGGGCCACAATCCCGAAGATATTCGTTCCTAGCAAATAGGAGACGCTGGCCGGGAGAAAAGCAATCCCTTGAGCCCAGTTATCGGCATTCATATGCTCCTTCATCCACATCGGCAATGCTGGTTCGAGGATGGCGATGCCAATGTTGCCGAAAGTAAGAGCACCTGCGTAGGGAAGTGCTCAAAAATCACAGAGCCCAATCTACTGTAAAATACTTAGTAGAATGTGGTTTCTATGAATGATACCTGCTGCCACGAGAATGTATGGGTCTCTCAGCAATTTTATAATCGGAGCACCACGTTCTTGTTCTGGGCGAATCGACGGCTTCAATATCACTATCTGAAGGACTGAAGAAGATACGACTCATTTTGTGTCACGCTTTGACTTTTGTACAAAACATTATAAGCCTAACTAAAAGTAAATATAATACAGATCAAACTGTTTGAAATCTAAATTATATTTATCTAGACTGGTTACCTCCATCCATTAGTGCGAGTACAGCGAGCATTAAGAATGGTGCCTTTTTGTCAACAAACTGATAGACGATACCGCCGAAAGTTGGGCCAACTAAAAGAGAAGGCGAAAACAGTGTCTTCAAGCATCATGTGATGCTCTGAAAATGTTGGTTGCTTCAGCCCTTCAACTATACCATACCAGCTCATATGTTGCACTTGCACTGAATGAATAATTCCAGGACTTGCCTTCCATTTATGCATAATTTATCAATCAAATTGAAGAATGCCGTCAAAATGACCTCATCAGCTAAGTGGAGTTCCGTTGACAGCAAACGCATCAGCGAATCCCTAGGTCCCTAGGTTTGAGCTGGTGGCGCAATGTTGACAAGAAAATAGGGTGGAAAAGGCTCTACCTAGGACACCGAGGGCTAGACCACTGAGTGCAGTCCCAAATGCTCTTGTGCGTCCCTTTGAGTCCGTATAGAAGGTGGCAATTGTTCCCATGCCTATAAAATTAATTGCAATGATTGATTAACTGAGGTATGAGCTATTGCTAAACCTACATCGTCGGCTCAGCTACCTTGGTCATACAAGCCTCACAACGGTAAAAGAACTTAAGGGCCTGAAAGAGTGCACACTGGAAATACCTGAGACACTGGAACACGCAGAGCCCGCACCCTGTATGGCTCGTGCAATGAGGAGGACCTTGTACGATTCGCCAAATGCGAATACTAAATTAATAGTGAAAAATAAAATGAGTTTTGGCAGCATTAGCATGTAGAATAGATTCGTCTTTACCTCCCAAGCGCATAGCTAAAGCACTTTCTCATATTCCTGCATCAATGCTTAATTAATAAATTTCCGGTACTTTTGACATGCTTTGCCATAAAAACTATAGCTCCTGGCTTTCTGCAGTTAAAAAGGGTGCCGATTCCACCACGACATGCTTTTTGTTTACGTGGTGAGGTGTTGCAAGATTAAAACTCGTACAACTCGGGCGCGTGGCTGTTTTATGAGTTTACTTACCGATTGTGGAGCAGAACATGATGAGAAATCCTGTAAACATAGGGATGGAATACCCGATTCTACAAAAGAAGCAAATAAGCAGTTTCAAGTATCCACTGCCTCAACTACTCAATTCCGGTGGGCGCAATGATGCTGCGTACAAATGCTCTTTGAAGCTGTCCCGACGAAATGTACTGCAAGCTGAAGAGAGCTTGACTTCCCACGAAAATTTGAAGGCATTTCCAAAAGCACCTACCTCCCGCTGGTCAGTACCCATAGTTGTATATTTTCCTGTGAGATCCATTTAATTTTTTTAATGTACTATACTAATGTAGTATGTCATTTATTAACCTGAACAGGACTGATATGGTTTGAGGGGAATGGAGTTAATTGTCAGTCACAATTTTTATCAAAGTCAAAACACACAGAGACTGAAAATACCAAATGAGTAGCATATTGGCCTTCTCCATTTGACGCAGAGGATTGACCTACCAAGACAGTTAACAGTTTCTTCAGAGCATGGTGGATATGACTGAGCAAGACTTCTCCTTGCCTTCGCTCGTTTTTTGGCAAACTAAAAGCTTATCACTTGCTATCCTTAGTGCATAAAGTTGGCATCTTACTTTTCAATCCGACAATAAAATAAAGCTGGAAATAAACCTGATAGAAGATCCCATGATCGCAAAAAGGATGCTCTAATGGTTTAATTATAGGCGCAAAATATCAAGGATACAGCCGATGAACATTTTATTAACTTTACAACATTTTGATTTTGATGTCGATAAGTCAAGTTTTCTAATTTTGGAAATGTGGCCAAAAGCTAAGCAAATTTTAAGAGATGTATATCCCACCAGGCTAAAGAAACGCACCTATTAGTGAGGGGTCCAACAAAAGGATTAACAACTAGCTGGACGATGGATTTTGATGCAAAGAGCATGCCAACTCGGAAGTTTTCCCTCTCCATATGCGACTGACGCATTTGAATCGCAAGTTTGGTGACGTTCAGGTTGCAGTCCGAGGCAAGGGTGTAGATACGATCGAGGAGTTTCTTTACATGAATCCTTTCCTCTCTAGAGGCCCTCGAGGGTTCGAGAAAGTCGTCCATCGATAGGGCCACATGCGCTCGACTCGCCCAAGCCACTGGAATCAAGCTGAGAACGGCTTCCGACAGGGTGCTCTTCAGTAACGTCTTCGACGTGCAGTTGTATGCGGTGGTGTCGAGAATCGTGTTTACCAAGTGGCTTGCCTTCGTTGTGAGCAGAAAGTTTGGGACTATTGGAACTAGTGGAGATATGATACTTATTTAACTGGGTAATAACTATTTTCCTTGATATTTTCAAAAGCTACTCTTTCTCTCTCTCTCTCTACACCATAAAGATCATGGTTGCTTAGCGGGAAGCAAGTCCATAAGTTTGTTAAACCATAACATGTGACCTGAATATAACGTTGTGAAATGTTAGTTTGAGTAAAAAATTCGACTACTTGCCAACCGTTGTGAGTAGCATATTGTCAAGAAACAGCGCTATAGTGACGATTATTAAGACGAGTCCTCGACGTGAGAAGACACCTCGAAGCCATTCATGAAATCTTCCAATCCCGGCTGTTTTGTTTTGTTTTGGCGAGGGCTCCATTTCTCTCTGAAATGTTAATGTAGCCAGTTATAGTGGAAAATGACGCTGCGGTGCCATAGGTATTTGTGGGAGCGCACTCCGGACTTGGGCTTCCCTCGCTTAGTGGGTAAAAGCCGTGATAAAATGTTGAAAAAAGTTTGAGCGATCTGCTTTTAAGATGCATACTAAATGTGAGACTGGTGGAGGTGTCAAACTAATTTTGTGTATGGAATGGGCGCACTGACGTACAAATTATGGCAGAATTCTCTCATTGCTGATGCAAAAGCTATTATAGAGTGGATTAACGTTTATGGGTCGGACGCTAATCCCTGAATAATGTAAAATAAAATCCCTTCTTGAGTGCAATGGATTAATTCACGTTAACAGTTTTGCCATAAGACTGATTGACCTCCCCGCAAAAATAGTTGCAAGTCCCTTGCCATCAATTTTAACACAAATGATCGCTTTCTGTCTATGTATTTACTACAAAATTCACAACTATTAAGCCTGAATGCCACCTAATTTCGCCAGTAA